CCTGAAATACTGGACGATTGGTAAGTAAATGTTAAATTTGTACAGTTTTTTACAGTTTTTGGTGAAGGAATATACCGTTGAAGAAGTCTACGCAACAGAATATTAAAGTTATATAAAAAAATAGAATCATAAAACCAAGAACGAAAAAGTGCAAAATGAATCTTGAGAATTCTAATCAATTGTGACTAGAAAGTGTCGACCAAGTACGTTTGATTTTTTTTGCAGTATACAAACGCACCATATTTACCAGGGTCTGACTAATACTCCCTCTTTTCATTATTGAGATTATCTGAAAAAACTTCTTCCTTGAAAAAGGCATTTATTTGCGAAAAAGTAAATGGATACATTACTACTATAACTACAAGTGGGTGTGGGGAGGGGGGGTGAGTTGCTTTATGGGACAGCAAATTGTAACGTCAAGTGAAAATTCAGCTGCTCTTAATTGATGATTTAATGGAAAAGGTTTCGTGTGTGTATTCTTTTTTTTATTAACAAAAGATTAATTTGAAAGGATGATGGGCGGGCGTGTGGACCAAAAATAATGTTAAAACGGGAAATAGATATAAAAATTATAAAACAAAGTAGAAATTGTAGTTATTATGAGGAGGCAAAAAAAATTTCATGTCTGAATTAGATGATATGGCGTTCGTAATTATTTGACAAAAATTGCATGTAAAAAACTGTGAAATGCAAAGTTTTAACCAAATCTTCAAAATGTCAAGTTTACAGCCGAAATTGAAATGAGACGCAGCTATTTTCCTGTACTGTTTAAACAAAAATGAATGAAGATAAAACTGAGAAAATGTTAACTTATTTATTCTTAGTACTGACCATAGGCTAACATCTATGGAATTGGGAACTGCATTGTTCAGTAGTGTTCGAGCTAAATTATCAAAGTTGGAATAGAAACAATATTTCAAGACATTAAATGTACCAAGATAAAGGAGAGTAGAATAGACGTACATGTATAAGATCGTGGTGCAATGCTCAACCAGTAAAACTGGTTAGGATGTTAACTCAGGTGCTGTTGATTATGCATGACACTACTTTTTCTTTGCGTCTTAAAGATCGAAATTAAATAGGTAAATTTGTCAGGTGTTGGCTGACAAAGTTGTTGTTGGGTATCTGATCTATGACTAAAAAAACGTCAAAATTGGTGCATAAAAGGCAGATTCTTGCGAGCTAAAAAAGAATGTTATCAGCTTTACCTGAAAATGTTGTGGATGGAATTGTGATGGAACGGAAAAGGTCGTTGTCAGTTGTTTTAGGTTTGATGGAAATTTGATTAAACTCAATGGTTAAAAGGCTGTCATTTAAGCTGTTGATTTTTGAACCATGCAGTCTTTAATTTTTATTCTACAACAAATCCTAAAATAACTGGAAAAGGAAATTACTTAGTTCGTAATGATAATTAGACATGAACAGGTTCAGTATTGGAAGAAGCGGTAATATGTTGAAGAAACTCAGTCTCTTATGTGACAAGCTACAGGATGTACTTGCGTCGTACGACTGAAAAACGTTGGACATCGCTGTGAAATGCCATGAAGCATAAAAGGTTGATTCTTTTGAGCTGAAAAGGCAGCCCTACTGAAAAAATTGTTGGGGATGGAATTGTGATGGAACTGAAAATTCCGCCTGTTGTCAGGTCCTCAATGAAAGAATGATTTGAATGGAAATGTAGATGGAACGGAAAGGGTTCTTGTCAGAAGAGGCAAGCTGGTTTACAAAATACTTACTACAAAATTATAGGACTTTTACAGAGTCCAAAGGTGACCTTGTTCCTTACAATTTCTGTCAGCTCTTTCCTAACATCTCTGCACTTCGGGAGGATCTTCCTAATGTATCTCTTTTCTTTCCATCTTTCTATTTTTCCTTGGCAATTAAGTTTGTTTACAACAAATTCTGCAGAATGTATGGGAAAAGAAAATATAAGCTGGAAATGGAAATTGCTTGCTTCATTATAAGACTTATTCTGCTCCATGAGCTTTAGAATCAACGAAGTATTTCGTAAAAAAGGATTGAATGAAATAACATAAAAGTCAAAAATTGAAATTTGGATCGAATTGTGATGGAACTAAAAATCAAGGGTTGCTGGCAGATTTTTAATGGAACGTGATTTCAATGTTACTGTGGTGGAACCTAAAAGGCTTTTCATTTACCAACTGTCAAACGGAAAAACCATTGTTTCAGTTTTCTACAGTAATGGTGCTCTCCTTGGTCAGCGTCACTTCGGGCTCCGCTATATAGCTTATTGGCCAGATAATCTACCAACTTGTATTCTGAAAATCCTTGAACAGCTTTTTCATAAGTCACCCGACGAGGCGAATAAACCAGTGACTCAGCAATATATGTTGTGCCAATTTTTCGAAAGGGCAAAAAAGTAAGTGGTAATTGAGCAATTATATTAATTTGGTAAATTTGCCAGTTGTTTGCCGACAAGGACTTAAGTTGTTGATGAGTATGACTGAAAAATGTTGAAATTGCATGGAGTATAAAAGGCAGATTGTTCTGAGCTGAAAAAGAATGGTATCAGCTTTACTTGAAAAAGTTGTGGATCGAATTGTGATGGAACAGAAAAGGATTGTTGTCAGTGCTAATGAGGCCTGAAAAAAACAAGGAAGAAATATTGGCCCGCCTACATGGGAATCTCCGTAGTTTGCAAAGAACAATTTCCTCCTCCCCAAAATAGGATTTATAAGATGTCACTGTCACAGCTCTTTCCTAACATCTCTGCACTTTGGGAGGATCCTCCTAATATATATCTTTTCTCTCCATCTTTCTATTTTTCCTAGGCAATTAAGTTTGCTTACAACAAATTCTTTAGAATGTATGGGAACAGAAAATATCAGCTGGAAGTGGAAATTGCTTGGTTCACTTTAAGACTTGTTCTGCTCCATGAGCTTTAAAATTATAGAAGTATTTCATGAAAAAGGATTGAATGAAACAACATAAGAGTCAAAAATTGAAATTTCGATCGAATTGTGATGGAACTAAAAACCAAGGGTTGTTGGCAGATTTTTAATGGAACGTGATTTGAATGTTATTGTGCTGGAACCGAAAAGGCTGTTTAGCTGCCAACTGTTAAACGGAAATACCATTGTTTCAGTTTTCTACAGTAATGGTGCTCTCCTTGGTCAGCGTCACGTCGGGCTCCGCTATATAGCTTATTGGCCAGATAATCTACCAACTTGTATTCTGAAAATCCTTGTACAGCTTTTTCAGCAGTCACCCGACGAGGCGAATAAACCAGTGACTTTCCAATATTTGTTGTGCTAATATTTCGAAAGGGCAAAAAAGTAAGTAGTAATTGAGCAATTATATTAATTTGGGAAATTTGCCAGTTGCTTGTCGAGAAGGACTTAAGTTGTTGATGATGAGTATGACTGAAAAATGTTGAAATGGCATGGAGTATAAAAGGCAGATTCTTGTGAGCTGAAAAAGAATGGTATCAGCTTTACTTGAAAATGTTGCTGATCGAATTGTGATGGAACACAAAAGGATTGTTGTCAGTGCTTGGGCTTGAAAAAAAGAAAGGAAAACATATCGGCCTGCCAATATGGGTATCCCCGTAGCTTGCATAGAAGATTTTCCCCCTCCCCAAAGTAGGGTTTATCAGACGCTACTGTCACAGCTCTTTCCTAACATCTCTGCACTTCGAGAGTATCCTCCTAATGTATCTCTTTTCTCTCTATCTTTCTATTTTTCTCTGGCAATTAAGTTTGTTTACAACAAATTCCGCAGAATGTATGGGAACAGAAAAAATCAGCTGGAAATGGAAATTGCTTGGTTCACTATAAGATTTGTTCTGCTCCATCGGCTTTAAAATTAAGGAAGTATTTCGTGAAAAAGGATTCAATGAAATAAAAGAAGAGTAAAAAATTAAAATTTGGATCGAATTGTGATGGAACTAAAAACCAAGGGTTGTTGGCAGATCTTTAATGGAACGTGGTTTGAATGTTATTGTGGTGGAACCTAAAAGGCTGTTTTGTTACCAACTGTCAAACGGAAATACCATTGTTTCAGTTTTCTACAGTAATTGTGCTCTCCTTGGTCAGCGTCACTTCGGGCTCCGCTATATAGCTTATTGGCCAGATAATCTACAAACTTGAATTTTGAAAATCCTTGTACACCTTTTTCAGCAGTCACCCGACCAGGCGAATAAACCAGTGACTCAGCAAAATATGTTGTGATAATTTTTCGAAAGGGCAAAACGGTAAGGGGTAATTGAGCAATTATATTAATTTGGTAAATTTGCCAGTTGTTTGCCGACGAGGACTTAAGTTGTTGATGAGTATGACTGAAAAATGTTGAAATGGCATGGAGTATAACAGGCAGATTCTTGTGAGCTGAAAAAGAATGGTATCAGTTTTAGTTGAAAATGTTGTGGATGGAATTGTGATGCAACACAAAAGAAAAATGTTGAAATAGCATGGAGTATAAAAAGCAGATTCTTGTGAGCTAAAAAAGAAGGGTATCAGTTTTAGTTGAAAATGTTGTGGATGGAATTGTAATGCAACACAAAAGAATTGTTGTCAGTGCTTGGGCTTGAAAAAAAGAAAGGAAAACATATCGGCCTGCCGATATGGGTATCCCCGTAGCTTGCATAGAAGATTTTTCCCCTCCACAAAATAGGGTTTATAACACGCTACGGTCACAGCTCTTTCCTAACATCTCTGCACTTCGGGAGTATCCTCCTAATGTATCTCTTTCCTCTCTATCTTTCTATTTTTCTTTGGCAATTAAGTTTGTTTACAACAAATTCCGCAGAATGTATGGGAACAGAAAATATCAGCTGGAAAAATTGCTTGGTTCACTATAAGACTTGTTCTGTTCCATGAGCTTTAAAATTAAGGAAGTATTTCGTAAAAAAGGATTGAATGAAATAACATAAGAGTCAAAAATAGAAATTTGGATCGAAAAGACAAGCGGCGCAATGTAGCAAGAAAAACAAAGATATTACATCATTCAATACGCTTAAATCCCTCCCAAGGTCCACTACGCTATTTGCCATCCAGCAAGGTGTTCTCCTCTTTCCTCTCTTCTTCCTCGTCTTCCTCCTCTTTCCTCTCTTCTTCCTCGTCTTCCTCCTCTTTCCTCTCTTCCTCCTTCTCTTCCCCCTTTTTCCTCTCTTCTTCCTCGTCTTCCTCCTCTTCTGTCTCTTCACCCTTTGCCTCCTCTTCTTGTTCTTTTTCCTTTTCCTCCTCTTCCTTTTCCTTAAATGATTCTACTGTGATAATAAACATGAAAACAAACAAACGCGAATATGGTAATTTTGATTAAAACCTTTTCATTTTTTCATTACGAGCTTAATTCACTACTTAGTACCTTGAAAACCACTGACTCAAATGCTCCTGAAGAAATACAAGGGATCCATCAAACAAATTTCACCAGCAGGGAGCACTAACCGTTAATATTTTTGGTGAGTTTTCGCAGACATATTATGTTGCAACAAACGACAGGAACATTCAATTTCTAAATATAGTCTCATGACAAAACTGGGCCATGCTTTTTGGAGTTCAATTTATGCGACATAAGAAAAAAGTTCACAAATATAATGATTCTAGTTTATTTACGAAACACCCCATACCCGGCCATAGACGGGCTTCTGACACCCCATATCCCGCTGACTTACTTTTCTTGAGCTCCCTGCGTACATCCCTGCACCTTTGGGCGATCTTACTCTTCGGGAGTATCCTCCTAATGTATCTCTTTTCTCTCTATCTTTCTATTTTTCTTTGGCAATTAAGTTTGTTTACAACAAATTCTGCAGAATGTATGGGAACAAAAATATCAGCTGGAAATGGAAATTGCTTGGTTCACTATAAGACTTGTTCTGCTCCATGAGCTTTAAAATTAAGGAAGTATTTCGTAAAAAAGGATTGAATGAAATAACATAAGAGTCAAAAATAGAAATTTGGATCGAAAAGGCAAGCGGCGCAATGTAGCAAGAAAAACAAAGATATTACATCATTCAATACGCTTAAATCCCTCCCAAGGTCCACTACGCTATTTGCCATCCAGCAAGGTGTTCTCCTCTTTCCACTCTTCTTCCTCGCCTTCCTCCTCTTTCCTCTCTTCTCCCTCGTCTTCCTCCTCTTTCCTCTCTTCCTCCTTCTCTTCCCCCTTTTTCCTCTCTTCTTCCTCGTCTTCCTCCTCTTCTGTCTCTTCACCCTTTGCCTCCTCTTCTTGTTCTTTTCCTTTTCTTCCTCTTTCTTTTCCTTAAATGATTCCACTGTGATAATAAACATGAAAACAAACAAACGCGAATATAGTAATTTTGATTAAAACCTTTTCATTTTTTCATTACGAGCTTAATTCACTACTTAGTACCTTGAAAACCACTGACTCAAATGCTCCTGAAGAAATACAAGGAATCCATCAAACAAATTTCACCAGCAGGGAGCACTAACCGTTAATATTTTTGGTGAGTTTTCGCAGACATATCATTATGTTGCAACAAACGACAGGAACATTCAATTTCTAAATATAGTCTCATGACAAAACTGGGCCATGCTTTTTGGAGTTTAATTTATGCGACATAAAAAAAAAGTTCACAAATATAATGATTCTAGTTTATTTACGAAACACCCCATACCCGGCCATAGCCGGGCTTCTGACACCCCATATCCCGCTGATTTACTTTTCTTGAGCTTCCTACGTGCATCCCTGCACTTTTGGGCGATTTTGTTTTTATTTTCTCTCTTTCTTCTTCCGCTTTTTCTTCTGTCATTTGGAAATTGTGAATGACGTACTCTATTAAATGAGAGGGGACGAAAAAAGTCAGCTGTTTATCATTTACAACAACTTTTTTCAAGACAGTAAGCGCAAGAAACAGTGAAAAAAGCGCTACCTGCAAACAGTTACTGGGAAAACCTAAAAAGCCTTATGATCAGAGCCCAGTTGTTTGAAAGCCGATTAGCGCTAACCGAGGATTAAATTTTAAGCTAAGTTTCTTTTTATTTTCACTCAAAACCGGCATTTACCCAGATAATTTTCACTATTCTTTGTAGAGCATCAATTCAATACATTACAGGCAAAAAGGATTAAACCGAATTTCCATTTAAAGCTTTCATATGTGAATTGATACTTCGCACTAACCCTGGGTTACCTTAACCCTGCTTTGACCAACCCGGCCCAGTTTATTTGATTTTACCCCTCCCCAAAGTAGGGTTTATAAGACCCTACTGTCACAGCTCTTTCCTAACATCTCTGCACTTCGGGAGTATCCTCCTAATGTATCTCTTTCCTCTCTATCTTTCTATTTTTCTTTGGCAATTAAGTTTGTTTACAACAAATTCCGCAGAATGTATGGGAACAGAAAATATCAGCTGGAAATGGAAATTGGTTGGTTTACTATAAGATTTGTTCTGCTCCATGAGCTTTAAAATTAAGGAAGTATTTCGTAAAAAAGGATTGAATGAAATAACATAAGAGTCAAAAATAGAAATTTGGATCGAATTGTGATGGAACTAAAAATCAAGGGTTGTTGGCAGATTTTTGATGGAACGTGATTTGAATGATAAAGTTGTGCTGGAACCGAAAAGGCTGTTCAGTTAGCAAATGTTAAACGGAAATACCATTGTTTCAATTTTCTACAGTAATTGTGCTCTCCTTGGTCAGCGTCACGTCGGGCTCCGCTATATAGCTTATTGGCCAGATAATCTACCAACTTGTATTCTGAAAATCCTTGTACAGCTTTTTCAGCAGTCACCCGACGAGGCGAATAAACCAGTGACTCAGCAATATTTCTTGTGTTAATATTTCGAAAGGGCAAAAAAGTTAGTGGTAATTGAGCAATTATATTAGTTTTGGTAAATTTGAAAGTTGTTTGCCGACAAGGACTTAAGTTGATGATGAGTATGACTGAAAAATGTTGAAATGGCATGTAGTATAAAGGGCAGATTCTTGTGAGCTGAAAAAAAGAATGGTATCACTTTTACTTGAAAATGTTGTGGATCGAATTTTAATGGCACAGAAAAGGATTGTTGTCAGTGCTTGAGCTTAAAAAAAAGGAAGACATATTGGCCAGCCTACATGGGTATCCCCGTAGTTTGCAAAGAACAATTTCCTCCTCCCCAAAATAAGGTTTATAAGACGCCACTATCACAGCTTTTTTCTAACATCTCTACACTTCGGGAGGATCCTCCTAATGTATCTCTTTTCTCTCCATCTTTCTATTTTTCCTTGGTAATTAAGTTTGTTTACAACAAATTCTGCAGAATAAATGGGAACAGAAAATATCAGCTGGAAATGGAAATTGCTTGGTTCACTATAAGACTTGTTCTGTTCCATGAGCTTTCAAATTAAGGAAGTATTTCGTGAAAAAGGATTGAATGAAATAAAATACGAGTAAAAAATTAAAATTTGGATCGAATTGTGATGGAACTAAAAACCAAGGGTTGTTGGCAGATCTTTAATGGAACGTGATTTGAATGTTATTGTAGTGGAACCTAAACGGCTGTTCAGTTACCAACTGTTAAACGGAAATACCATTGTTTCAGTTTTCTACAGTAATGGTGCTCTCCTTGGTCAGCGTAACGTCGGGCTCCGCTATATAGCTTATTGGCCAGATAATCTACCAACTTGTATTCTAAAAATCCTTGTACAGCTTTTTCAGCAGTCACCCGACCAGGCGATTAAACCAGTGACTCAGGAAAATATCTTGCGATAATTTTTTGAAAGGGCAAAACGGTAAGTGGTAATTGAGCAATTATATTAATTTGGTAAATTTGCCAGTTGTTTGCCGACGAGGACTTAAGTTGTTGATGAGTATGACTGAAAAATGTTGAAATGGCATGGAGTATAAAAAGCAGATACTTGTGAGCTGAAATAGAATGGTATCAGTTTTAGTTGAAAATGTTGTGGATGGAATTGTGATGCAACACAAAAGAAAAATGTTGAAATAGCATGGAGTATAAAAGGCAGATTCTTGTGAGCTGAAAAAGAATGGTATCAGTTTCAGTTGAAAAGGTTGTGGATGGAATTGTGATGCAACACAAAAGAATTGTTGTCAGTGGTTGGGCTTAAAAAAAAAAGAAAGGAAAATATATCGGCCTGCCAATATGGGTATCCCCGTAGCTTGCATAGAAGATTTTCCCCCTCCCCAAAATAGGGTTTATAAGACGCTACTGTCACAGCTCTTTTCAAACCTCTCTGCACTTCGGGAGTATCCTCCTAATGTATCTCTTTTCTCTCTATCTTTCTATTTTTCTTTGGCAATTAAGTTTGTTTACAACAAATTCTGCAGAATGTATGGGAACAAAAATATCAGCTGGAAATGGAAATTGCTTGGTTCACTATAAGACTTGTTCTGCTCCATGAGCTTTAAAATTAAGGAAGTATTTCGTAAAAAAGGATTGAGTGAAATAACATAAGAGTCAAAAATAGAAATTTGGATCGAAAAGACAAGCGGCGCAATGTAGCAAGAAAAACAAAGATATTACAACATCCAATACGCTTAAATCCCTCCCAAGGTCCACTACGCTATTTGCCATCCAGCAAGGTGTTCTCCTCTTTCCTCTCTTCTTCCTCGCCGTCCTCCTCTTTCCTCTCTTCTTCCTCGTCTTCCTCGTCTTTCCTCTCTTCCTCCTTCTCTTCCCCCTTTTTCCTCTCTTCTTCCTCGTCTTCCTCCTCTTCTGTCTCTTCACCCTTTGCCTCCTCTTCTTGTTCTTTTTCCTTTTCCTTCTCTTCCTTTTCCTTAAATGATTCCACTGTGATAATAAACATGAAAACAAACAAACGCGAATATAGTAATTTTGATTAAAACCTTTTCATTTTTTCATTACGAGCTTAATTCACTACTTAGTACCTTGAAAACCACTGACTCGAATGCTCCTGAAGAAATACAAGGGATCCATCAAACAAATTTCACCAGCAGGGAGCACTAACCGTTAATATTTTTGGTGAGTTTTCGCAGACATATCATTATGTTGCAACAAACGACAGGAACATTCAATTTCTAAATATAGTCTCATGACAAAACTGGGCCATGCTTTTTGGAGTTCAATTTATGCGACATAAAAAAAAAGTTCACAAATATAATGATTCTAGTTTATTTACGAAACACCCCATACCCGGCCATAGCCGGGCTTCTGACACCCCATATCCCGCTGACTTACTTTTCTTGAGCTCCCTGCGTGCGTCCCTGCACCTTTGGGCGATTTTTTTTTATTTTTTCTCTTTCTTCCTCCGCTTTTTCTTCTGTCATCTCAAAATTCTGAATGACGTACTCTGTTAAATGAGAGGGGACGAAAACAGTCAGCTGTTTATCGTTTACAACAACTTTTTTCAAGACAGTAAGCGCAAGAAACAGTGAAAAAAGCGCTACCTGCAAACAGTTACTGGGAAAACCTAAAAAGCCTTATGATCAGAGCCCAGTTGTTTGAAAGCCGATTAGCGCTAACCGAGGATTAAATTTTAATCTAAGTTTCTTTTTATTTTCGCTCAAAACCGGCATTTACCCAGATAATTTTCACTATTCTTTGTAGAGCATCAATTCAATACATTACAGGCAAAACGGATTAAACCGAATTTCCATTTAAAGCTTTCATATGTGAATTGATACTTTGCACTAACCCTGGGTTACCTTAACCCTGCTTTGACCAACCCGACCCAGTTTATTTGATTTTACCCCTCCCCAAAGTAGGGTTTATAAGACCCTACTGTCACAGCTCTTTCCTAACATCTCTGCACTTCGGGAGTATCCTCCAAATGTATCTCTTTTCTCTCTATCTTTCTATTTTTCTTTGCCAAATAAGGAATGTATGGGAACAGAAAATATCAGCTGGAAATGGAAATTGCTTGGTTCACTATAAGACTTGTTCTGCTCCATGAGCTTTAAAATTAAGGAAGTATTTCGTAAAAAAGGATTGAATGAAATAACATAAGAGTCAAAAATAGCAATTTGGATCGAATTGTGATGGAACCAAAAACCAAGGGTTGTTGGCAGATTTTTAATGGAACGTGATTTGAATGTTATTGTGCTGGAACCGAAAAGGCTGTTCAGTTAGCAAATGTTAAACGGAAATACCATTGTTTCAATTTTCTACAGTAATTGTGCTCTCCTTGGTCAGCGTCACGTCGGGCTCCGCTATATAGCTTATTGGCCAGATAATCTACCAACTTGTATTCTGAAAATCCTTGTACAGCTTTTTCAGCAGTCACCCGACGAGGCGAATAAACCAGTGACTCAGCAATATTTGGTGTGCTAATATTTCGAAAGGGCAAAAAAGTTAGTGGTAATTGAGCAATTATATTAATTTGGTAAATTTGGCAGTTGTTTGCCGACAAGGACTTAAGTTGATAATGAGTATGACTCAAAAATGTTGAAATGGCATGGAGTATAAAAGGCAGATTCTTGTGAGCTGAAAAAGAATGGTATCACTTTTACTTGAAAATGTTGTGGATCGAATTGTGATGGAACAGAAAAGGATTGTTGTCAGTGCTTGATCTTAAAAAAAAGGAAAACATATTGGCCGGCCTACATGGATATCCCCGTAGTTTGCAAAGAACAATTTCCTTCTCCCCAAAATAGTGTTTATAAGACGCCACTGTCACAGCTCTTTCCTAACATCTCTACACTTCGGGAAGATCCTCCTAATGTATCTCTTTTCTCTCCATCTCTCTATCTTTCCTTGGTAATTAAGTTTGTTTACAACAAATTCTGCAGAATGTATGGGAACAGAAAATATCAGCTGGAAATGGAAATTGCTTGGTTCACTATAAGACTTGTTCTCATTGCTCCATGAGCTTTAAAATTAAGGAAGTATTTCGTAAAAAAAGGATTAAATGAAATAAAATAAGAGTAAAAAATTGGAATTTGGATCGAATTGTGATGGAACTAAAAACCAAGGGTTGTTTGCAGATCCTTAATGGAACGCGTTTCTGTTATATAGAGAATTTTTAAGCGGATAATATAGTCGAAAAAGCGAGGTTAGTCCTCGTTGTACTAAGTCAAGTCAACGTAAATGTGTTTATGCTTTATACTTTACTCTAGCTACAAGTGTGTGTGTGTTGGGGGAGGAGTAAGTTGTACCTTCTTCTGCTGGTAAATTGCATATTCTTCTGGTGTTCCTTCTTCTCTCCTCTGAAACGTAGTAACAAAAGAATATGTCATGTACATGATTCTTTTTCCAATTTTTTTGCTCTGATACTAAATATCATAACAATAATTCTTATTCAAACAACCTTTATAGATAAAACGCAGGTCACTTTGATAAGGGTTCACCGATACTAAGAAACGTCGCGTTTGACAAAAACGGGTTAGTGGAGTCGACTCCAGGTAACTCGAACCTTCAAGGGAAGTCGAAAAAGGTTCGGGAACTCGAAGAAAATAGACGGGAGTAAGGGAACTGCTCGTAGTCTATCATCTTAGACAACAGAAGCCAATTCCAAGCCATTCAAAATGATATCTGACCGTTGTATGTCACATTTATTGTGCTGCCTACCATACTTTATATGATGGCATCGTATAACTAAATAGTTATAAAAAGGCTAGTGTGTATACCGCGAAAGACAAGTGGGATATTCCATGGTATACCACGAGAACGTGTTGCTTACCTTGCATGTTTTATATTTATATATTGTCGTCAAATACTATTATGCTATTGTTTAATTTCTGTGACTGTTCTCAGTAGGCCATAAAGTAATATGTATCGCTCCAAGTGTCCTCCTAATTTCCCTTAGTTCCCCAAGATCTCATTCATATATCTCTAAAGAAATTGATAAAAAAAAGATGATTTAAGTTCCTCTGGCAAACTTTTATGAGTGGAACAAATTTGCCAGTTGCTTCGACAAGCCCCATTTTCTTATTATTTTCATAAAAAAATCTGCACACTTGGGAAATTACATGAGGCATTACAATACATGCATGTATTGTTTTGAAGGAGGACTTTAACATTCATTTGGTCAATGCTAGTTATTATTAAGTCATAATTGCATAAATACCTATTTTGTATACAGATTTTTGTAAGGAAATAACTGAATGCCAAAAAAAATACTTTTAGCCACAGTTTCATTAATTTCAGAACCTGAATAGTATATTTTAGGTTCACTTACTCGCGGATTTTTACTATATCAAGGGTCTTTATGTTAGCTTCAAATTAAATCAATGGAGGTGCAATGGGAGGCAGTAAAACTCATTACGTACCTAAAACGTTATAACTGAGAACTTGTAAAGACACCTAAAAGAAAAATAAATGAAACCTTTCAGCAAACGTTAAAGTTCAGTGAAACTCGAAGTATCGTCCGTCAGTGTATACAATTTAACCTCTTCAAAGTCTTCAGTACAACTCAAATTAGGTGCGTAGAAATTAACCCCAAGACTGCAGCATCAACATCAAATTACCATTATTCGTCAATTTCAGACATATTCAAATAGAGGCGCAACACGCTCTGTAGCGGTAAGAGTTGTGAAAATCCGGCAATATACTTTACGAACAGTCATATACATAAACCTTGGACTTTTCACTGAAAACAACAGGAAATGGACTTTTTAACTAAAGGTCGGCTAAGTATTACCAAATTTTCTATGTGCAAAACAGACCACCATCCATCATTAGAATTTATGTACCTGCGAATCTCACCGACAAAAGCTAAAGAGAAATGAGAACTATAAAACGCTGTCAAGCATACTGAGATGTTGAACGAGAGGAGATTGGAGACGAGTAATAACACCAATGCACGTAATTATGATGTAACAATATTTTCATGAAAATTAAATGTATTTCCCAAACGCAAATGGTTTGTTTAACTCCTCCGACAACTCCGCTTGTAGGCCAAAACTTAACAATAAAATTAGACTCAGTAAACACAATTAGCCCTTTGCAGAAAACGGTCATATGGGACCAAAAAGGCAAGCGGCGCAATGTAGCAAGAAAAACAAAGATATTACATCATTCAATACGCTTAAATCCCTCCCAAGGTCCACTACGCTATTTGCCATCCAGCAAGGTGTTCTCCTCTTTCCTCTCTTCTTCCTCGCCTTCCTCCTCTTTCCTCTCTTCTTCCTCGTCTTCCTCCTCTTTCCTCTCTTCCTCCTTCTCTTCCCCCTCTTTCTTCTCTTCCTCCTCGTCTTCCTCCTCTTTCCTCTCTTCTTCCTCGCCTTCCTCCTCTTCTGTCTCTTCACCCTTTGCCTCCTCTTCTTGTTCTTTTTCCTTTTCCTCCTCTTCCTTTTCCTTAAATGATTCCACTGTGATAATAAACATGAAAACAAACAAAGGCGAATATAGTAATTTTGATTAAAACCTTTTCATTTTTTCATTACGAGCTTAATTCACTACTTAGTACCATGAAAACCACTGACTCAAATGCTCCTGAAGAAATACAAGGGATCCATCAAACAAATTTCACCAGGGAGCACTAACCGTTAATATTTTTGGTGAGTTTTCGCAGACATATCATTATGTTGCAACAAACGACAGGAACATTCAATTTCTAAATATAGTCTCATGGCAAAACTGGGCCATGCTTTTTGGAGTTCAATTTATGCGACATAAAAAAAAGTTCACAAATATAATGATTCTAGTTTATTTACGAAACACCCCATACCCGGCCGTAGCCGGGCTTCTGACACCCCATATCCCGCTGACTTACTTTTCGTGAGCTCCCTGCGTGCATCCCTGCACCTTTGGGCGATTTTTTTTTTTATTTTCTCTCTTTCTTCCTCCGCTTTTTCTTCTGTCATCTGGAAATTCTGAATGACGTACTCTGTTAAATGAGAGGGGACGAAAAAACTCAGCTATTTATCGTTTACAACAACTTTTTTCAAGACAGTAAGCGCAAGAAACAGTGAAAAAAGCGCTACCTGCAAACAGTTACTGGGAAAACCTAAAAAGCCTTATGACCAGAGCCCAGTTGTTTGAAAGCCGATTAGCTTTCATATGTGAATTTATACTTCGCACTAACCCTGGGTTACCTTAACCCTGCTTTGAACAACCCGGCCCAGTTTATTTGATTTTACCCTTCCCCAAAGTATGGTTTATAAGACGCTACTGGCACAGCTCTTTCTTAACATCTCTGCACTTCAGGAGTATCCTCCTAATGTATCTCTTTTCTCTCTGTCTTTCTATTTTTCTTTGGCAATTAAGTTTCTTTACAACAAATTCTGCAGAATGTATGGGAACAGAAAATATCAGCTGGAAATGGAAATTGCTTGGTTCACTATAAGACTTGTTCTGCTCCATGAGCTTTAAAATTAAGGAAGTATTTCGTAAAAAAGGATTGAATGAAATAACATAAGAGTCAAAAATAGCAATTTGGATCGAATTGTGATGGAACTAAAAACCAATGGTTGTTAACAGATTTTTAATGGAACGTGATTTGAATGTTATTGTGCTGGAACCAAAAAGGCTGTTCAGTTAGCAAATGTTAAAGGGAAATACCATTGTTTCAATTTTCTACAGTAATTGTGCTCTCCTTGGTCAGCGTCACGTCGGGCTCCGCTATATAGCTTATTGGCCAGATAATCTACCAACTTGTATTCTGAAAATCCTTGTACAGCTTTTTCAGCAGTCACCCGACGTGGCGAATAAACCAGTGACTCAGCAATATTTGTTGTGCTAATATTTCGAAAGGGCAAAAATGTAAGTGCTAATTGAGCAATTATATTAATTTGGTAAATTTGCCAGTTGTTTGCCGACAAGGACTTATATAAGTTGATGATGAGTATGACTGAAAAATGTTGAAATGGCATGGAGTATAAAAGGCAGATTCTTGTGAGCTGAAAAAAAGAATGGTATCACTTTTACTTGAAAATGTTGTGGATCGAATTGTGATGGAACAGAAAAGGATTGTTGTCAGCGCTTGAGCTTAAAAAAAAGGAAGACATATTGGCCGGCCTACATGGATATCCCCGTAGTTTGCAAAGAACAATTTCCTCCTCCCCAAAGTAGGGTTTATAAGACGCTACTGTCACAGCTCTTTCCTAACATCTCTACACTTTGGGAGTATCCTCCTGATGTATCTCTTTTCTCTCCATCTTTCTATTTTTCCTGGGTAATTAAGTTTGTTTACAACAAATTCTGCAGAATGTATGGGAACAAAAATATCAGCTGGAAATGGATATTGTTTGGTTCACTATAAGACTTGTTCTGCTCCATGAGCTTTAAAATTAAGGAAGTATTTCGTAAAAAAGGATTGAATGAAATAAAATAAGAGTAAAAAATTAAAATTTGGATCGAATTGTGATGGAACTAAAAACCAAGGATTGTTAGCAGATCTTTAATGGAACGTGGTTTGAATGTTATTGTGGTGGAACCTAAAAGGCTGTTCAGTTACCAACTGTTAAACGGAAATACCATTGTTTTAGTTTTCTACAGTAATTGTGCTCTCCTTGGTCAGCATCACGTCGGGCTCCGCTATATACCTTATTGGCTAGATAATCTACAAACTTGTATTCTGAAAATCTTTGTACAGCTGTTTCAGCAGTCACCCGACCAGGCGAATAAACTAGTGACTCAGCAAAATATGTTGTGATAATTTTTCGAAAGGGCAAAACAGTTAGTGGTAATTGAGCAATTATATTAATTTGGTAAATTTGCCAGTTGTTTTCCAACAAGGACTTAAGTTGTTAATGAGTATGACTGAAAAATGTTGAAATGGCATGGAGTATAAAAGGAAGATTCTTGTGAGCTGAAAAAGAATGGTATCAGTTTTAGTTGAAAATGTTGTGGATGGAATTGTGATGCAACACAAAAGAATTGTTGTCAGTGCTTGGGCTTGAAAAAAAAGAAAGGAAAACATATCAGCCTGCCAATATGGGTATCCCCGTAGCTTGCATAGAAGATTTTCCCCCTCCCCAAAGTAGGGTTTATAAGACGCTACTGTCACAGCTCTTTCCTAACATCTCTGCACTTCAGGAGTATCCTCCTAATGTATCTCTTTTCTCTCTATCTTTCTATTTTTCTTTGGCAATAACGTTTGTTTACAACAAATTCTGCAGAATGTATGGGAACAAAGATATCAGCTGGAAATGGATATTGTTTGGTTCACTATAAGACTTGTTCTGCTCCATGAGCTTTAAAATTAAGGAAGTATTTCGTAAAAAAGGATTGAATGAAATAACATAAGAGTCAAAAATAGAAATTTGGATCGAATTGTGATGGAACTAAAAACCAATGGTTGTTGGCAGATTTTTAATGTAACGTGATTTGAATGTTATTGTGGTGGAACCTAAAAGGCTGTTCAGTTACCAACTGTTAAACGGAAATACCATTGTTTCAATTTTCTACAGTAATTGTGCTCTCCTTGGTCAGCGTCACGTCGGGCTCCGCTATATAGCTTATTGGCCAGATAATCTACCAACTTGTATTCTGAAAATCCTTGTACAGCTTTTTCAGCAGTCACCCGACGAGGCGAATAAACCAGTGACTTAGCAATATTTGTTGTGCTAAGTGGGGTGGGGGGTGCGTTTCTGTTATATAGAGAATGTTTAAGTGGATAATATAGTCGAAAAAGCGAGGTTAGTCCTCGTCGTACTAAGTCAAGTCAACGTAAACTGATGTATTTATGCTTTATACATTACTCTAGCTACGAGTGTGTGTGTGTTGGGGGAGGAGTAAGTTGTACCTTCTTCTGCTGGTAAATTGCACATTCTTCTGGTGTTCCTTCTTCTCTCCTCTGAAACGTAGTAACAAAAGAATATGTCATGTACATGATTCTTTTTCCAATTTTTTTGCTCTGATACTAAATATCATAACAATAATTCTTATTCAAACAACCTTTATAAATAAAACGCAGGTCACTTTGATAAGGGTTCACCGATACTAAAACGTCGCGTTTGACAAAAACGGGTTAGTAGAGTCGACTCCAGGTAACTCGAACCTTCAAGGGAAGTCGAAAAAGGTTCGAGTTATCGGGAACTCGAAAAAAATAGACGGGAGTAAGGGAACTGCTCGTAGTCTATCATCTTAGACAACAGAAGCCAATTCCAAGCCATTCAAAATGATATCTGACCGTTGTATGTCACATTTATTGTGCTGCCTACCATACTTTATATGATGGCATCGTATAACTAAATAGTTATAAAAAGGCTAGTGTGTATACCGCGAAAGACAAGTGGGATATTCCATGGTATACCACGAGAACGTGTTGCATACCTTGTATGTTTTATATTTATATGTTGTCGTCAAATACTATTATGCTATTGTTTAATTTCTGTGACTGTTCTCAGTAGGCCATAAAGTAATATGTATCGCTCCAAGTGTCCTCCTAATTTCCCTTAGTTCCCCAAGATCTCATTCATATATCTCTAAAGAAATTGATTAAAAAAAAAGATGATTTAAGTTCCTCTGGCAAACTTTTGTGAGTGGAACAAATTTGCCAGTTGCTTCGACAAGCCCCATCTTCTTCTTACTTTCATAAAAAATTCTGCACACTTGGGAAATTACATGAGGCATTACAATACATGCATGTATTGTTTTGAAGGAGGACTTTAACATTCATTTGGTCAATGCTAGTTATTATTAAGTCATAATTGCATAAATACCTATTTTGTTTACAGATTTTTGTAAGGAAATAACTGAATGCCAAAAGAAATACTTTTAGCCACAATTGCATTAATTTCAGAACCTGAATAGTGTATTTTAGGTTCATTTACTCGCGGATTTTTACTATATCAAGGGTCTTTATGTTAGCTTCAAATTAAATCAATGGAGGTGCAATGGGAGGCAGTAAAACTCATTACGTACCTAAAACGTTATAACTGCGAACTTGTAAAGACACCTAAAAGAAAAATAAATGAAACCTTTCAGCAAACGTTAAAGTTCAGTGAAACTCGAAGTATCGTCCGCCAGTGTATACAATTTAACCTCTTCAAAGTCTTCAGTACAACTCAAATTAGGTGCGTAGAAATTAACCCCAAGACTGCAGCATCAACATCAAATTACCATTATTCGTCAATTTCAGACATATTCAAATAGAGGCGCAACACGCTCTGTAGCGGTAAGAGTTGTGAAAATCCGGCAATATACTTTACGAACTGTCATATACATAAACCTTGGACTTTTCACTGAAAACAACAGGAAATGGACTTTTTAACTAAAGGTCGGCTAAGTATTGCCAAATTTTCTATGTGCAAAACAGACCACCATCCATCATTAGAATTTATGTACCTGCGAATCTCACCGACAAAAGCTAAAGAGAAATAAGAACTATAAAACGCTGTCAAGCATACTGAGATGTTGAACGAGAGGAGATTGGACACAAGTAATAACACCAATGCACGTAATTATGATGTAACAATATTTTCATGAAAATTAAATGTATTTCCCAAACGCAAATGGTTTGTTTAACTCCTCCGACAACTCCGCTGGTAGGCCAAAACTTAACAATAAAATTAGACTCAGTAAACACAATTAGCCCTTTGCAGAAAACGGTCATATGGGACCAAAAAGGCAAGCGACGCAATGTAGCAAGAAAAACAAAGATATTACATCATTCAATACGCTTAAATCCCTTCCAAGGTCCACTACGCTATTTGCCATCCAGCAAGGTGTTCTCCTCTTTCCTCTCTTCTTCCTCGCATTCCTCCTCTTTCCTCTCTTCTTCCTCGTCTTCCTCCTCTTTCCTCTCTTCCTCCTTCTCTTCCCCCTCTTTCTTCTCTTCCTCCTCGTCTTCCTCCTCTTTCCTCTCTTCTTCCTCGTCTTCCTCTTCTTCTGTCTCTTCACCCTTTGCCTCCTCTTCTTGTTCTTTTTCCTTTTCCTCCTCTTCCTTTTCCTTAAATGATTCCACTGTGATAATAAACTTGAAAACAAACAAACGCGAATATAGTAATTTTGATTAAAACCTTTTCATTTTTTCATTACGAGCTTAATTCACTACTTAGTACCTTGAAAACCACTGACTCAAATGCTCCTGAAGAAATACAAGGGATCCATCAAACAAATTTCACCAGGGAGCACTAACCGTTAATATTTTTGGTGAGTTTTCGCAGACATATCATTATGTTGCAACAAACGACAGGAACATTCAATTTCTAAATATAGTCTCATGACAAAACTGGGCCATGCTTTTTGGAGTTCAATTTATGCGACATAAAAAAAGAGTTCACAAATATAATGATTCTAGTTTATTTACGAAACACCCCATACCCGGCCATAGCCGGGCTTCTGACACCCCATATCCCGCTGATTTACTTTTCTTGAGCTCCCTGCGTGCATCCCTGCACCTTTGGGCGATTTTGTTTTTATTTTCTCTCTTTCTTCCTCCGCTTTTTCTTCTGTCATTTGAAAATTCTGAATGACGTACTCTGTTAAATGAGAGGGGACGAAAAAAGTCAGCTGTTTATCGTTTACAACAACTTTTTTCAAGACAGTAAGCGCAGGAAACAGTGAAAAAAGCGCTACCTGCAAACAGTTACTGGGAAAACCTAAAAAGCCTTATGATCAGAGCCCAGTTGTTTGAAAGCCGATTAGCGCTAACCGAGGATTAAATTTTAATCTAAGTTTCTTTTTATTTTCGCTCAAAACCAGCAATTACCCAGATAATTTTCACTATTCTTTGTAGAGCATCAATTCAATACATTACAGGCAAAAAAGGCCCGGATTAAACCGAATTTCCATTTAAAGCTTTCATATGTAAATTTATACTTCTCACTAACCCTGGGTTACCTTAACCCTGCTTTGAACAACCCAGCCCAGTTTATTTGATTTTACCCCTCCCCAAAGTAGGGTTTATAAGACGCTACTGTCACAGCTCTTTCCTAACATCTCTGCACTTCAGGAGTATCCTCCTAATGTATCTCTTTTCTCTCTGTCTTTCTATTTTTCTTTGGCAATTAAGTTTATTTACAACAAATTCTGCAGAATGTATGGGAACAGAAAATATCAGCTGGAAATGGAAATTGCTTGATTCACTATAAGACTTGTTCTGCTCCATGAGCTTTAAAATTAAGGAAGTATTTCGTAAAAAAGGATTGAATGAAATAACATAAGAGTCAAAAATAGAAATTTGGATCCAATTGTGATGGAACTAAAAACCAAGGGTTGTTGGCAGATTTTTAATGGAACGTGATTTGAATGTTATTGTGCTTGAACCGAAAAGGCTGTTCAGTTAGCAAATGTTAAACGGAAATACCATTGTTTCAGTTTTCTCCAGTAATGGTGCTCTCCTTGGTCAGCGTCACGTCGGGCTCCGCTATATAGCTTATTGGCCAGAAAATCTACCAACTTGTATTCTGAAAATCCTTGTACAGCTTTCTCAGCAGTCACCCGACGAGGCGAATAAACCAGTGACTCAGCAATATTTGTTGTGCTAATATTTCGAAAGGGCAAAAAAGGAAGTGGTAATTGAGCAATTATATTAATTTGGTAAATTTGCCAGTTGTTTGCCGACAAGGACTTAAGTTGATGATGAGTATGACTGAAAAATGTTGAAATGGCATGGAGTATAAAAGGCAGATTCTTGTGAGCTGAAAAAAGGAATGGTATCACTTTTACTTGAAAATGTTCTAGATCGAATTTTGATGGAACAGAAAAGGATTGTTGTCAGTGCTTGAGCTTAAAAAAAAAGGAAGACATATATTGGCCGGCCTACATAGGTATCCCCGTAGTTTGCAAAGAACAATTTCCTCCTCCCCAAAATAGGGTTTATAAGACGCCACTATCACAGCTCTTTTCTAACATCTCTACACTTCGAGAGGATCCTCCTAATGTATCTTGTTTCTCTCAATCTGTCTATTTTTCCTTGGTAATTAAGTTTGTTTACAACAAATTCTGCAGAATGTATGGGAACAGAAAATATCAGCTGGAAATGGAAATTGCTTCCTTCACTATAAGATTTGTTCTGCTCCATGAGCTTTAAAATTAAGGAAGTATTTCGTGAAAAAGGATTGAATGAAATAAAATAAGAGTAAAAATTAAAATTTGGATCGAATTGTGATGGAACTAAAAACCAAGGGTTGTTGGCAGATCTTTAATGGAACGTGGTTTGAATGTTATTGTGGTGGAACCTAAAAGGCTGTTCAGTTACCAACTGTTAAACGGAAATACCATTGTTTCAGTTTTCTACAGTAATGGTGCTCTCCTTGGTCAGCGTCACGTTGGGCTCCGCTATATAGCTTATTGCCCAGATAATCTACAAACTTGTATTCTGAAAATCCTATCACAGCTTTTTCAGCAGTCACCCGACCAGGCGAATAAACCAGTGACTCCGCAAAAATATGTTGTGATAATTTTTCGAAAGGGCAAAACGGTAAGTGGTAATTGAGCAATTATATTAATTTGGTAAATTTGCCAGTTGTTTGCCGACGAGGACTTAAGTTGTTGATGAGTATGACTGAAAAATGTTGAAATGGCATGGAGTATAAAAGGCAGATTCTTGTGAGCTGAAAAAGAATGGTGTCAGTTTTAGTTGAAAATGTTGTGGATGGAATTGTGATGCAACACAAAAGAAAAATGTTGAAATAGTATGGAGTATAAAAGGCAGATTCTTGTGAGCTGAAAAAGAATGGTATCAGTTTTAGTTGAAAATGTTGTGGATGCATGGAATTGTCATGCAAAACAAAAGAATTGTTGTCAGTGCTTGGGCTTGAAAAAAAGAAAGGAAAACATATCGGCCTGCCAATATGGGTATCCCCGTAGCTTGCATAGAAGATTTTCCCCGTCCTCAAAATAAGGTTTATAAGACGCTACTGTCACAGCTCTTTCCTAACATCTCTGCACTTCGGGAGTATCCTCCTAATGTATCTCTTTTCTCTTTATCTTTCTATTTTTCTTTGGCAATTAAGTTTGTTTACAACAAATTCTGCAGAATGTATGGGAACAAAAATATCAGCTGGAAATGGAAATTGCTTGGTTCACTATAAGACTTGTTCTGCTCCATGAGCTTTAAAATTAAGGAAGTATTTCGTAAAAAAGGATTGAATGAAATAACATAAGAGTCAAAAATAGAAATTTGGATCGAAAAGACAAGCGTCGTAATGTAGCAAGAAAAACAAAGATATTACATCATTCAATACGCTTAAATCCCTCCCAAGGTCCACTACGCTATTTGCCATCCAGCAAGGTGTTCTCCTCTTTCCTCTCTTCTTCCTCGCCTTCCTCCTCTTTCCTCTCTTCTTCCTCGTCTTCCTCCTCTTTCCTCTCTTCCTCCTTCTCTTGCCCCTCTTTCTTCCCTTCTTCCTCGTCTTCCTCCTCTTCTGTCTCTTCACCCTTTGCCTCCTCTTCCTTTTCCTTAAATGATTCCACTGTGATAATAAACATGAAAACAAACAAACGCGAATATAGTAATTTTGATTAAAACCTTTTCATTTTTTCATTACGAGCTTAATTCACTACTTAGTACCTTGAAAACCACTGACTCAAATGCTCCTGAAGAAATACAAGGGATCCATCAAACAAATTTCACCAGGGAGCACTAACCGTTAATATTTTTGGTGAGTTTTCGCAGACATATCATTCATTGTTGCAAGAAACGACAGGAACATTCAATTTCTAAATATAGTCTCATGACAAAACTGGGCCATGCTTTTTGGAGTTCAATTTATGCGACATAAAAAAAGAGTTCACAAATATAATGATTCTAGTTTATTTACGAAACACCCCATACCCGGCCATAGCCGGGCTTCTGACACCCCATATCCCGCTGACTTACTTTTCGTGAGCTCCCTGCGTGCATCCCTGCACCTTTGGGCGATTTTTTTTTTATTTTCTCTCTTTCTTCCTCCGCTTTTTCTTCTTTCATTTGGAAATTCTGAATGACGTACTCTGTTAAATGAGAGGGACGAAAAAAGTCAGCTGTTTATCGTTTACAACAACTTTTTCAAGACAGTAAGCGCAGGAAACAGTGAAAAAAGCGCTACCTGCAAACAGTTACTGGGAAAACCTAAAAAGCCTTATGATCAGAGCCCAGTTGTTTGAAAGCCGATTAGCGCTAACCGAGGATTAAATTTTAATCTAAGTTTCTTTTTATTTTCGCTCAAAACCAGCAATTACCCAGATAATTTTCACTATTCTTTGTAGAGCATCAATTCAATACATTACAGGCAAAAAGGCCCGGATTAAACCGAATTTCCATTTAAAGCTTTCATATGTAAATTTATACTTCTCACTAACCCTGGGTTACCTTAACCCTGCTTTGAACAACCCAGCCCAGTTTATTTGATTTTTACCCTCCCCAAAGTAGGGTTTATAAGACGCTACTGTCACAGCTCTTTCCTAACATCTCTGCACTTCAGGAGTATCCTCCTAATGTATCTCTTTTTCTCTGTCTTTCTATTTTTCTTTGGCAATTAAGTTTATTTACAACAAATTCTGCAGAATGTATGGGAACAGAAAATATCAGCTGGAAATGGAAATTGCTTGATTCACTATAAGACTTGTTCTGCTCCATGAGCTTTAAAATTAAGGAAGTATTTCGTAAAAAAGGATTGAATGAAATAACATTAGAGTCAAAAATAGAAATTTGGATCCAATTGTGATGGAACTAAAAACCAAGGGTTGTTGGCAGATTTTTAATGGAACGTGATTTGAATGTTATTGTGCTTGAACCGAAAAGGCTGTTCAGTTAGCAAATGTTAAACGGAAATACCATTGTTTCAGTTTTCTCCAGTAATGGTGCTCTCCTTGGTCAGCGTCACGTCGGGCTCCGCTATATAGCTTATTGGCCAGAAAATCTACCAACTTGTATTCTGAAAATCCTTGTACAGCTTTCTCAGCAGTCACCCGACGAGGCGAATAAACCAGTGACTCAGCAATATTTGTTGTGCTAATATTTCGAAAGGGCAAAAAAGGAAGTGGTAATTGAGCAATTATATTAATTTGGTAAATTTGCCAGTTGTTTGCCGACAAGGACTTAAGTTGATGATGAGTATGACTGAAAAATGTTGAAATGGCATGGAGTATAAAAGGCAGATTCTTGTGAGCTGAAAAAAAAAGGAATGGTATCACTTTTACTTGAAAATGTTCTAGATCGAATTTTGATGGAACAGAAAAGGATTGTTGTCAGTGCTTGAGCTTAAAAAAAAAGGAAGACATATATTGGCCGGCCTACATAGGTATCCCCGTAGTTTGCAAAGAACAATTTCCTCCTCCCCAAAATAGGGTTTATAAGACGCCACTATCACAGCTCTTTTCTAACATCTCTACACTTCGAGAGGATCCTCCTAATGTATCTTGTTTCTCTCAATCTGTCTATTTTTCCTTGGTAATTAAGTTTGTTTACAACAAATTCTGCAGAATGTATGGGAACAGAAAATATCAGCTGGAAATGGAAATTGCTTCCTTCACTATAAGATTTGTTCTGCTCCATGAGCTTTAAAATTAAGGAAGTATTTCGTGAAAAAGGATTGAATGAAATAAAATAAGAGTAAAAAATTAAAATTTGGATCGAATTGTGATGGAACTAAAAACCAAGGGTTGTTGGCAGATCTTTAATGGAACGTGGTTTGAATGTTATTGTGGTGGAACCTAAAAGGCTGTTCAGTTACCAACTGTTAAACGGAAATACCATTGTTTCAGTTTTCTACAGTAATGGTGCTCTCCTTGGTCAGCGTCACGTTGGGCTCCGCTATATAGCTTATTGCCCAGATAATCTACAAACTTGTATTCTGAAAATCCTATCACAGCTTTTTCAGCAGTCACCCGACCAGGCGAATAAACCAGTGACTCCGCAAAATATGTTGTGATAATTTTTCGAAAGGGCAAAACGGTAAGTGGTAATTGAGCAATTATATTAATTTGGTAAATTTGCCAGTTGTTTGCCGACGAGGACTTAAGTTGTTGATGAGTATGACTGAAAAATGTTGAAATGGCATGGAGTATAAAAGGCAGATTCTTGTGAGCTGAAAAAGAATGGTGTCAGTTTTAGTTGAAAATGTTGTGGATGGAATTGTGATGCAACACAAAAGAAAAATGTTGAAATAGTATGGAGTATAAAAGGCAGATTCTTGTGAGCTGAAAAAGAATGGTATCAGTTTTAGTTGAAAATGTTGTGGATGCATGGAATTGTCATGCAAAACAAAAGAATTGTTGTCAGTGCTTGGGCTTGAAAAAAAGAAAGGAAAACATATCGGCCTGCCAATATGGGTATCCCCGTAGCTTGCATAGAAGATTTTCCCCGTCCTCAAAATAAGGTTTATAAGACGCTACTGTCACAGCTCTTTCCTAACATCTCTGCACTTCGGGAGTATCCTCCTAATGTATCTCTTTTCTCTTTATCTTTCTATTTTTCTTTGGCAATTAAGTTTGTTTACAACAAATTCTGCAGAATGTATGGGAACAAAAATATCAGCTGGAAATGGAAATTGCTTGGTTCACTATAAGACTTGTTCTGCTCCATGAGCTTTAAAATTAAGGAAGTATTTCGTAAAAAGGATTGAATGAAATAACATAAGAGTCAAAAATAGAAATTTGGATCGAAAAGACAAGCGTCGTAATGTAGCAAGAAAAAACAAAGATATTACATCATTCAATACGCTTAAATCCCTCCCAAGGTCCACTACGCTATTTGCCATCCAGCAAGGTGTTCTCCTCTTTCCTCTCTTCTTCCTCGCCTTCCTCCTCTTTCCTCTCTTCTTCCTCGTCTTCCTCCTCTTTCCTCTCTTCCTCCTTCTCTTGCCCCTCTTTCTTCCCTTCTTCCTCGTCTTCCTCCTCTTCTGTCTCTTCACCCTTTGCCTCCTCTTCCTTTTCCTTAAATGATTCCACTGTGATAATAAACATGAAAACAAACAAACGCGAATATAGTAATTTTGATTAAAACCTTTTCATTTTTTCATTACGAGCTTAATTCACTACTTAGTACCTTGAAAACCACTGACTCAAATGCTCCTGAAGAAATACAAGGGATCCATCAAACAAATTTCACCAGGGAGCACTAACCGTTAATATTTTTGGTGAGTTTTCGCAGACATATCATTCATTGTTGCAAGAAACGACAGGAACATTCAATTTCTAAATATAGTCTCATGACAAAACTGGGCCATGCTTTTTGGAGTTCAATTTATGCGACATAAAAAAAGAGTTCACAAATATAATGATTCTAGTTTATTTACGAAACACCCCATACCCGGCCATAGCCGGGCTTCTGACACCCCATATCCCGCTGACTTACTTTTCGTGAGCTCCCTGCGTGCATCCCTGCACCTTTGGGCGATTTTTTTTTTATTTTCTCTCTTTCTTCCTCCGCTTTTTCTTCTTTCATTTGGAAATTCTGAATGACGTACTCTGTTAAATGAGAGGGGACGAAAAAAGTCAGCTGTTTATCGTTTACAACAACTTTTTTCAAGACAGTAAGCGCAGGAAACAGTGAAAAAAGCGCTACCTGCAAACAGTTACTGGGAAAACCTAAAAAGCCTTATGATCAGAGCCCAGTTGTTTGAAAGCCGATTAGCGCTAACCGAGGATTGAATTTTAATCTAAGTTTCTTTTTATTTTCGCTCAAAACCAGCATTTACCCAGATAATTTTCACTATTCTTTGTAGAGCATCAATTCAATACATTACAGGCAAAAAGGATTAAACCGAATTTCCATTTAAAGCTTTCATATGTGAATTGATACTTCGCACTAACCCTGGGTTACCTTAACCCTGCTTTGAACAACCCGGCCCAGTTTATTTGCATTTTTGGCCTTATCAGCAATAAGGTCGACTCCCGATAACTCGAACCCACGCTAAGTCAAACCTCGCCTCAACTCGAAGCAAAACTTGTTTCCCCTGGATTTCGTCCTTACATTTACTGTAATTTTTATCCTCCATAACTCGAACTTTCAGGTAACTCAAAGATATTTTTTTTTCTTAGAATGTAATTTTACCATCGATAGCTCGAACCATGTTTTAATTTAAGCTCATGATAAGTAGAAAAAAATTTTGCTGCAGTCCGAAACGTTTAATTTTTGAACTTTTAAAACGACCAAATATTCTGTGTACTCCTTCAGTCAAAGTATGAAAATATCGCAAGCTTTATCCTATATTAGATGAGCAAGAAACATACAACAAAGTGGTACCGTGCCTATCGACTTCTGTTTAGTGAACACTACATCAAACAATAGTGAAAAACTCGCTCTCAAAGATTACGCGACCGAGAATGATCGAACATACTAATGTGCATTTTCACACTCACTGAAACGTGGCTAAAAGATCATGACATTTTCTGCCGCTGAGATTTGTCCCAATGTATATCAATTATGCCATGTTCTACGAAAGAGTTCACGTGGTGGCCGGTAGGTCTTCTGAAGACACGAAGGTGAAAGGCATGCGAAAAGTTGGCGGGGCGGGAAAAATGAAAAGCTGAAGGGATAGAGAGCCTGTAATCATTTGTTTTTATATTGATTAATTACATATTGTATCTTCTGCGTAAAAACGAGGATACTATTATTAAACAAGCCTTTCGCACCTCGCTAGAACTTCACTGTAATGGTAAAAATAGCTTTTACCATAATCTTATGAAAATATCTGAATATCATGACCTTCCCGATTTTGATCCTAATAATTTAAGTGAAGCTAAGATCAAACACTATATAGATATAACAAAACAAAAATATATTACATATTGGCAACAAACAATCCATCATTCTAAGAAACTACAATTTTACAGCTTATTTAAACATGATTATAAAATTTCACGTTATCTAGACTTAATTAGAAATTCAGCCAATAGGAAAGACTTAGTGAAAATTCGTATAAGTAACCACAAACTCATGATTGAAACTGGAAGAGATAATCAAACTTCCCGCAACGATAGATTCTGCCCTAAAACGATAGGAGAGGGGGCGTTAGAAATGTGTCCCTCCCCATCCCTGAATGTCTCTTCAGACGGACTGGCGTGAGGGTGGACGCTGATATCATAACCAAATTTACGATAGGAGAGGGAAAGGGGGGAGAGCCTGTAGACAAACCGTTGGCACCGCCGTTCCACGGTACCCGCTGTGCGTTAGATTCTGATGCAAGCTCCTATTCTCGGTTTTCACATGACGTCACTAAAATTCAAACTAAGAAACTATCGATTCTTCTGAGTTTCTGAGTTTCATGAGGTATTACAGCACCTAAACACCTTTATTTAAAGAGAGTTTTGGTTCGAAAGGGTTCTTCGTTTTGCGATAGAGGACGTTTGAATTTCTAGGCTTTTGCGTGACGCGGCATTTAGCTGGCGGCCACAACGGCTCTTATGTGGGTTAAAAACATTACCAATTTTGGGAGATTTTGCTGTCTAAACATTCTTTGTCTCTGAATAAATATCACTTTAATAGTTTATGAGTTTTTCAAGCGATGAATTAACGCATTAGTAGGAAAACTCAAAAACAGATGTTTCTGTTGGTTTCCGGCGGCCATATTTGTGCCCCGCAAAGGGACACAAACATGGCGTCTCCATACAAAGCTTTCTAAATTTGGGTAAAACGTTTTTCCTAATATCTCGCATATGAAATATCGCACAGACCTGATTCTTGGCGAGGCCTTTTGCTTATTTATCTTCTTATATTTCCTAGATTCGGGACTTTCTGTATTGAATGGTTTGCAATTTTATTTTTGATTGCGTGACAGTGAAAACCGAGAATTGGCGAGAACTCTGACTGTTGGCAAGTTTCATTGACATCGCCTTTTTGGTCGGCACGTAGCACGCGATTTGAATAATCGCTTGTAATCAGGTCTTCTTATCTTTAATATGGCATCTTCTGCGCTTGACTGATGAGCTTATTTAACCGCAATGACTAGGCTTTACATGTCAAATAAAATGTTACTCCATTGGAAAAAGCAGCATTTCGACAGGAGGTAAGAGTCGTGTGTTGACTATCGACCCCCTTTTTACACGCGAAGTTGATTACATTAACGATCTTGCTGACAGATGATCGTCAGTAATGTCAAGAGGGCTGAATAGCGGCCTCAAATGTTCATCTACAGGCTCTCCCTTTTCCCTTCCCTCTCCTTGCGATTTTTTCACCCTTTCCCAAACAGAGAGCCTGTTCACAGGCTACCCATATCACGCCATAGAGGGCAAAACGGCTATCTATGGCTACAATCCCGCTCTGTTTTGAGTTGTTCCGGTGTCGTGTTGATGTCTTGCAGAATTAATTTTCACGTAGCACGATCAGCATTGCAGTATTCTGCTTGCAGAATTTAATATGTCTATGTTTTGTATATTCAGTGTATAAAAAGTGAAGAATCTTTCGTTGAGCAATATCTTTTTAATGTCACTGATTTGCACTGTAATTTTTTACTCTCATCCTGAATTTCCCTAATAGATGCCACTATAGTAAAAAACAATATGTACATTCAATGTAACAGATGGAATATATCTGTTGCCGCAAAAAAACCTTTTACCATTCTCTAAAACTAGAATATATAGAAAAACCTAACTTCCCTAGTCTAGTCTAGTTTATTAGACGTGGTAATTATAGTGTGATGATATTTTAGCTGAATACTGCATCTCCATGCATATTTATTTACACTTCATATTTACATCATGATATAGACGATACTTCAAGCCCGTAGATACTAAATTTCCTAGAAAAATTGTAAAATAAGTTCCAACACCAGAAAAGAATTTTTTCTATCCCTAAGCGGCCATGTAATTATCTTTTTAACACCAACGAAATATCATACCATCTCGCCTTTTTTGCGAAGGAAGGCGAAGATTATCATGTAGCCATGGCAACGGTGACAGTTGTTCGTTTTTTCCAATACGAGCCGACCGGGATCGGTAATTAACTTAATATTTATTTTTTTTTCCGTACAGATAGAACTTTCTCGAAAACTTTTACTTCGATCAGCCACCAAAATATGTATGTGATGATGCATCGCCCAATCGACTGCAGAACCAAAACAAGACTTAACAACCACTGGACGAAATATTGAATTTAATGATATTTGCCTCAAAGACAAATCTAAGACAAATCTGATGTCAGATTTGTCCACCCATCAAATGTCCCAAATGTGAGACAAATCTGTTATCACATTTGTCTTGAAAAAATGTGAGACAAATGTGATTCAAATATGCCATTATATTTGCCCTTGTACAAAGATATCTTAAAACAAGACAAGTACGAGAAAAATAATTTTTTGACTTCTCGTTCCAGTAAAATCGCTACATGATTTTCTGAATTGTTTAGAAACAAGGCTATTGTTTGTCTCATTAATTAATTAATTTATTTATTTGGTTGTTTTTGGCGCAATGGGTAACCCTTGTCAAGCACTCGTAGATGCATGTAGGTGTAGATATGTAGAAATTGCAATGAGGGATTTTCTGGCTAGCTATTATTGCGCCTTACTCACACTGGATGAATGCTCCGATCAACTTACCGTACTTTATACGCTGATTAAAACATTTACAGAGGCTCGTTATATCGAGGTTCCACTGTATTCAAGTCAAGTCAAGTCAGAGTCAACTTTATTTAGGCAGAGTGGCACTATCAGCCATTGGCTGGTATCAATAGGGGCCCTGCGTAAATTACGACTACACGATAAAAATTTAAAAATTAAAAATTACTTTAAGTGAAGTGAATAAAAGGGAATAAAAGGGAAATTAAAAGTTACTTTAAGTGAAGTGAATAAAAGGGAAATTACCGTCTCTTCATAAAAATGACAATTTGTTTATATCCATGTATTAAAAAGGAGTCTTTTGAAGTTTTAGCGTATGCTAGGAAGTTACCTTGCGTTGCAAGTGTGAGGCTCACTAGCCTTTTTTATTACCAAGATTGGAAAGTTGGATTAGATGTAAAAGGAAAGAATTCCTCCTCCCTTTGACTCCTTAAAACTGATGAGTTGTCAGTGTTTTGATCATTATGCTGTGCCACTGAAAATATGAAAGTTCAACTCTAGTCAAAAGACCAAAATTATTCAGCCATATGGTGGAGTCTTATTTGCACTACCACCCTACACTATAGGGTCTAAACCACATCACCATATATACCGCTAGACATAATGAAAGGCGAAGGGACTAGAAAAAATGTTAGTCGTTATTTCGGACTCCCACTGTACAATCACTGAACTCTTTATGTCATGTTTAAGCAATAACAAATATAAGATAAATAAGTAAATAAGTACCGTGACAATTTTGAAAACTATACCTTTTTTTAATAATGTAAAGAATACTTTATTAAAATCTTATAAAAACTACAAACAAAATTTCAGTAAAATATTCATATAAAGAAAACGTCCACATCAATAGAGTTATAAAAAATCAATTCAAAAGTCCCAGTGGATGGCGTAAAAGTCAACGCGCTGATTTTAATAAGATAAGGTTCTGATCCATGAGGCGAGATATAAATCTATTGCTGTTAATTTTCCGTACCAATTTCCCGATAAAAAGACCTAACTATAGAAAAAAAATAATAATACAGTGAAACCTCCATTGAGCGGACACCTTCGGGACCTTCCCAAGCGTCCTCTTAAAAGAGGGTGTCCGCTTAACAGGGTTTGTAAAAATTGCGCAATGTTTAACTTTCAACTTAACGGTTACTCTGTACTGTGATAAAGTTCCATGTTGTTAAGGAAGCTAAGGAAGCCGTGCTGTACTTTGTGCAAGACTCTCGGTATAATCTACAGTTTATCGACAGCTAAATGTATTGATTTACCTTTATTAATCGACTACAGCACGTTTTTCAAGGACGTAATCCAATACTACTATTGTTAATTCGGTCCGCTGTCCGCTTAATAGAGGTTATTAACAATAAAAATTAGCCAAATACAATTTATTTTAGTGTCCGCGTCCGCTTAATAGAAGTGTCCGCTGAATAGGTGTTCCTTATAACGGGAAATATAAGACGTAATTAAAACTTCGGGACCCGGTTTAGTGTCCGCTGAATAGAGGGTGTCCGCTTAATTGGGGGTTCGCTTAATAGAGGTTTCACTATAACAATAATTATAGTAAATATCAGTATTACGTGAAATCCATTCCAGAATTTATGCTTAAGTCCAGATAAGTGCTGCTGATAAGTACACCCTATTTTCTAATCCCTTCATCTTGATCGTCTTTTTGAATGAACGCGCGCGCGAATGCACGAAAAGTACTCGCATTCAGATATTGTGACGTTAAGTTACGTCAGCGATAGAACGCCAATCAAATGTCCACAGCTACACGCGCGGTATGTTTGATCACCCTTTTGACAGCGTCTCCAGTTCATTTCGAAAAGTTCTTTGTCAGCTTGGCCCTTAGTTTTCGTTGTCTTTAGACTCGTATTTTATGGTTCAATCATGGCTACAAGCAGTCCTGCTGAAGAAAGACAACTTTTCCTGATGGAAAACATGAAGAGGAGACTAGATTCTATTTTAGAGAGCCAGAAGAAACTGAAAGAAGCAAACGCAGCAGTTCAGCAAGATAACGTAACTAGCAAAACAGGAGCGACTAATGCACTTATCAATTGAAACCCCGACCCCCCTCCCACCCCGGGCCTATGTGGGGTAATGTGGGGGATTTTTAAGGTATTTGAAGGCATGGTTAGCCCGTGGGGGTGGGGGATTTCTCAGGATTTGCTTAGCATATTCATGGCAGTCCACGGAAGTCGGGGAGCGAGGTGGGGATTTGACTCGTGCCTAGTTTCCTCAGGGTAATTTCTTCACGTGATCACTGGTATTTTGATGTATTGCTCGGCCGTAAGTTTCCTAATTGTTTTTCCTTTCATTTCTCCACTTAGATTAATCCTTTGCGATTTTGCCTTGAGCTTTCATGGTTCGTTGACTGGAAATTGTTATTGTTATTCAAAACTTCTCAAACAATGCAGGTACACACTATCTGGTTCATTTTGATAATATTGCCAGTTACGTGGTCCCTACTCGCTTCTGAGCGTTATCGTGGGCAAAGAAATGAAGAAATCAAAGCTTCGTTTCAAACAGATGTTTCTCCCAAGCATATCAAGCGTTACGCTTGAACTTTGAAAAACTGTTAGGTTAACGAGTTTTCAAAAACCAAAATTTCAATCCGTTTCAATCTTCTTCATGTTTTCCCATCTGTACCTTCTTTTGTATTTGCTGAGTCATTTATACCATCTTTTAATGTCTTCAGTGGTTATTTTTATGTTTCACTCAATTTGGTGGCAGTTCCCACAGCCTACATTTTGGTAAATTTCGTGACACAGCTCGTTTAACGTCTAGTGTTAAACCCATGTGGTTTCTGAAGTTCTATATTTCCTCATTCTTTAAGTCAAAATATAAAATATAGCTCCTAGGAACTATTTTATGCAGTCTATTTATAACATCAGCTTGTGAAAGTTAAGGTATGTTGGCTGCTATTTTCAATTAAACTTATCATTGCAGCAATTACTTTCAATGGAGATGGTACAGATTTCCTTTTAATATAAATTTATAGCTGATTTATAGCAATGTGCTACTCCATCATCCATTTTGTACCCTGACTTTTTTATAAGTGGGCAGGGGTCATTATGTTTACTTAATTATTGTCAAATATTTGTTGTATTTATATCTTGGTCTGTTATCATATTTGCCTTTTTGCTCTAGTAAATTTGTCAATAAAGAAGTTGAAAATTCCAACGAAATGTTAATAAAGTCAGTCAGGGAATTAAAAAGGTTTCCCCACCTGGGTGGGGGTTTTACCAGTCAATATGCCCCAGTATGGTGGGAGTTTGCTAAGATTTGTAATGATGTCAAGTCAAATCCCCACCTTGGCCCGGGGTGGGGGGGGTCGGGGTTTCAATTGATAAGTGCATAAATAACAGCAAACGCGGCTCAAAACTGTCACGCAGAGAATCTAAAGGAGAAGTTCCAATGGATTTAAGGGTAGGTTTACTTTCTTGTTGCTTTGATGATATAAGAAATGCTTTTGATCGCGAGAGTTTGTGTTTATTCTTTGGAGCTGAACTGATAGCGTGTCTTCAAAGGCGCCGACTTGCCTGCGTTGTATCAAACATCACAGGAACCTACAACTTAGCTTAAAGCGCCCAATTTTTGAGGGACAATGTTAGTCTTTGAAGTGGGGCATATTTATTACTTCTTTAAACAAAACGAGATCGATGGCCGGGAGAAAGTTGCTGTTGGAAGTAACCAAATACATGTATATTATGGATGATTATTGCCTAATTGCATACCGCGCGGGAGCCTGGCACTACCGGATTTTCCCGGACTTTTTAAATTCCGGATTCAAAATGGCTTCCAAAACAGAGGGTAAAGCAGAGGAAAGCAGAGGTCACTGCGTGCCGTTGAAACGATGTTGAGGGCCATATTACTCCAGAAAGTTAATATTTTACAGCAATGAACAGTTGTTTTACTGCTATGAAGAACTTCGATTAAAACCTTGAGAAAAGAAAGATCAAATCGGAGACTTTCGCTACTTGAAGTATTGGAAGGATTCCCGAATTGTTCGACAAAAAATTTGAACAAAGAACCGTCGCATTTAGCTTTTTTTACGGTGCTGGATCCGACCGAATATTGGCGAATGATAAGAGAGTGGGTGTACCTCTTTTTACAAATCGTAAAATAAAGACTACGAAAAGCAAAACACGCCAGAGTGACCATGAGTCACTGAGTGAAAAGGCAACATCGTATTAGGTCGGCAAGGCTTACATTAGGTTTTCTCTCCGTCCCTGCGTACGGTCTCAGTAAGAAATCCTAAAGATCGGACCAGAGACAATTCTCATTGAACATAGCTAAAAGCAAGTATACTTCAGTCTTAAAAGAGAGGCATTTCTCGTCCAGTAACACTGAAGTTCCTGTGACCAGACCTCATGCATTGAGCAATGTTATAATACAGAAGTAATTTTTCTTGGGGGGATAAATTGTATATAGTATATAGTTATTTTTTGACTGAGGCCCCTGCGTGTGATTCTGTACCTTCCAGTTACATTGCATTACATTATTTATATAGACACTACTCAAGACATGTATAAATTCATTGGCAAAATGTGAAAAATGGCAATGGCTTACAAGGACTCACTTGTTGAGCTGCCTCTTTTTGGAACATATTGGGTCTACGAGCATGTTTACAATTTGGGGTAACATGTACTGAGTATAGACAAGTCCCTTGTTCTCCAGCGTGTGATTTAAGAATACTAGGTTCAACGTACATAACTCCACAAAGTTCACTACACTCAGTACCTTTCACGGACATTTCTCTTTTCCGCGACAGGAATAATCCAGGTAAGCCTTCTGTACTGCCCTTTTAAGTCTCTGCTCCAGCATACTTAGGTTACGATCGGTACGCACACATTCTGTGTTCTTGCCTGCAATGATCCTCTAAAATACAGAAGCCGGTAGAATTAAACAGGCAATCCTTTGCTGTCGAAAATTTATAGTCATCTTTGGTTCGAGCGACCTGTTCATCGAACAATTGCTTGCACTTGCAGCTGAGTGTCGGCTCCTTAAGTTTAGCTTCAGGGTATGACAGAAATAGTGTATCCTTTCCTTACTAAGTTTAGGAAGATTCTCTGAGGGAATATTGATCAATGTTTCTTCGAAAAAGAACGCTTTCGTTCGAGTCTTTACTCTGACTATCCTCTGACTATCCGCCATTTTGAAACTGGACTTTTTAAAAAGTCCGGGAAAATCCGGTAGTGCCAGGTCCCCGCGCGGTATGAAATTAGGCAATGGTTATCTCAAAGCAGAAGTCCTTATCAGGGTTATATGCTTCTGTCTCAAAGCTTATCTAACATTGCACTTTATTTGGTAAATTTACAACTATAATTTTTGTTTTGTTTCCAACATGCAGAAAGATGGTTGACAAAAAACATGACAAGTGGCTTTAAAGTGGAAGAGGAGTATGTTCACAAATTTATGTTTTATTTTTTTACCTCATGAGTGTTAAAATGTTTTTCTAGCCAAATGGCTGTGCTCAAAGAAAATTTGAAGGGACTGAGTCCATTGCTATGAAACTGTGAAATCCACACTGCTCAAGATATGGTTCCTATGGAAAACGTTCTTTTAGGCTGGTTTCAAGTGTCGAATTTCACTTGAGCCAAACTTAACGCAAGAGTTAAATGCATGTGAAGTGCAACGTTTGAATCAATTAAATTAAATGCGATGTTTGCCGTATCTGCGACTGAAACAGTCGAAGATTCGACTGAGGTTCAACTTTTGATTCAAACGTCGCATTTCACATGTGCCAACTTAATGCATGAAATTTGGTAAATTATTATTATATTAGTATAGGTAATAGCATGATTTGTAGTGATATTTGGCATAAATACCACAAGTGATATTTCGAAATTGTTTTACATAATTTCACGAGCCGTTAGGCGAGTGAAATTTGAGACAATTTTGAAATATCACAAGTGGTATTTATGCCAAATATCACTACAAATCATGCTATTATTTGTTTATACTACTACCCGCAAAGGTTTTGTAATTTTCACATGTAGGTATTTCAAATTAAGCTGAAATACCACTGCTCTAAGCCAATCAAATTGCAGAAATTTCTCATGTAGTAGTATAACTGGGAATATTGACTTTTAACAGAGTTAAATTCAACAGAGTTCAGGGAGTTAAATTTGACGTTTAAATCAAATGCCACATTTAACTATTTAAGTAGACTAAATTAGGAATAAAGTTCTGCGCATGTGAAATTTGACGTTTGAACTGGGCCTTAGACACTCAGGATTAAAAGTCAGTTGCCATGGGTGACCTGGAGAGCACAGCCTCAGGTGTTGTTTACCTTAAGAATCTTATCCCTCATGCCAGAGCTATGGCAAAGCCCAAGTTTTAGGGTGGGATATCCGAGAGGCCAGCACCTGACGGTCCATCATGAGCCACATTCAGGCCACTTCTCAGTCAATGCCTAGGCCCAGTTGTTCAAAGGCTTATTAGAACCCACACGGGGATAAATTTTTAAATAATTTGGTTTCCTTTTTCATTCGTTGAAGAACATTTTCGCACTTAATGTGCTCTCCTTTTTTAGAGCATCCAATCATCAAATTGCAGACAAAAAGAACTTTTAAAGTGAATTTGTTTATAAGCTTGCCTATCTCAACTCAAAGTTTGCATAAACCAGCATTACACAACCTGGCCTGACCTTGTTTATATGAGTAGAGATAATAGAAAAGTATATGTTATTAGTAGTATGAGGCTACCTTCCACAGAAGATAATCAACTGTGGCATTTTCTTGTCTTAATAGGGTAGCTTAATTTATCATATACATCCGGGGTGCAAAGAAAGTCAGTTTTACAGCCTACCATTCTGGCAAGCTGTAGCTACCCCATACTAGCCCACAAGTCATTTCAACTAGCCCCCAAACCCTTTTTGATTAGCAGGATTGATTACAATCCTTCGGTAATTTGAATTTCTCCAAAAAACAACACTTGCCCATCAGGCAAGATAAGAACAAAAATCACTAGCCCGATAGCAAAATCCGCTAGCCCCGGGCTATGGGACACGACTTTCCTTGCAGGCTGACATCACATAAAAGTACCAACTTTGCTTTTCAAAGACAAAAGAAAACTTTTCAATGACTCTTTCGAAGATGTGAAGCCAAAAGAAAATCAGGCTTAGGTTTACCTTCTTGTTTATTTGCAATATTCATTTAAGAAATCTTTGACCAGAGGAAAAGTTGTGATAATCAAAAAGTTGGTTAATTGAGGTCCAGATAATCAAGGTTTAACTGTTGGCTTAAATGTCCAAAGTCCATTATTTGGTTATAGATTTTAATAACAGTACATGTTATGGACTTTCTAAGAGCTTATATAAATGTCACTTGGATTATTTGGTTAACTTAACTTGGTAAACATTAAAGAGAGTGCAAACGGTATAGTCTTTGATTACCCAGGCTTAAACTTTTCCAAATTCTCAAGCTATCAATAAGATGCGTGTACAAAAATATATTATGATATGTGAAATTTTTGCTGTTTACCAAATTTTAGTCAAGTCTTTGTAGCATTATTGATTAATGACAAATGTACATTAAACCCTCTAGCAGTCACTCCAGAAGTCAGCTATTTCATTAGTTTTGTTGCCCTTGGCAAGTATCAATAGCCCACCAAACAAACCTTGGCAATTGTGAGGCATTTGCTTTTTGTTATTGGTATTTCCTAAAGTGCATTTAGATATATTTTTAATATAAGAAATAGGAATATTTTGTCTGGACAGTCAACTCTCTTTAAGATGGACACCTTTGGGACCAGCACTACTGACTCAGTATATCCGTCTTATAGAGATCCAAATAGAGTGAGTTATAAAGAGAAACAGGGACCATCTCAAGGTGTCCACTTAACAGAGGTGTTTTTAATAGCTATTATTTAAAATTACATACCGTAAATCCTCTATTTAGCCCCCCCTCTCTATTAAGCCCCCCCTCCCCCTCCCCCAATCCTTATTCTTCACAAAAAAATTAACGATTAACGTGGACTAATCAGTTATGGCTTATTCACGCTGAAAGTTCATATTGTTTTTGGTCTTTGGCCGCATGACCTCCAACTTCATATGCTTAACTTTCTCAACTTTGCGCTCTAGTTCTCTGTGGAGAACATTTTTGAAGAATAAGAATTTTGTTTTTGTTACTTTTAGGCTCCCACAAGTGAAATAAATACTTTTGACAGTGACTTTAATTGTACAACGCGTAAGTCTACTCTGTCTCATACCACGGTGTTTTTGCTACCGGTGATGCGTTTTGCTAAATTAAATAAGCCCCCCCTCAAAAGTGCTTGAAAAAAATAAGCCCCCCGGGGGGCTTCATAGAGGATTTACGGTACTCTAATAACAGTGGAACTAAGTGCAATGAAGATTGCTATCTTTCCTGTGGTAATTAACTAAAGATACAGTTTGTTGGATGTTGTACCAATGGTACCTGAAGGGAACGTTTTATTTAATGGTTAATTTTTACTGGGTATGTGCTGCTGGCCTCTGAGTACCCCTATCCCATTACTGTATACCGATAGTCTACTCTGTGGCCATATTATAGACCCCATTTCGGTCACTTTGGAAAAAAAGTGATTTTTGCAATCCCAGCTTGGTCACGTTCTGTTTATTTATCTACCTAATAAAGTCTTTTGACTTGGTCATCCTGAAATGAACTGACACTTGTTAAACTTAATGTTTTAGTTTTGTTTTACAGTTAATTGTAAGATCAGGACAAGCATTGTGAAATAAATGAGAATTGTCAGGTAAAATTCTTGAGTCATTTTTCTTTAAATATTGTAATCACCTTGCACCCTTTACAGTGGAACTCTGATATTTAAGAAGTTTCAAGGAACGAAGTGCAATGAAGATTGTTACTGTTTTAGCAGTGTCTTCGTTATATCAGGGTTTCAGGTAAGGGTTGTGATAAATGAGGGGGAAAGGGATCGAACTGATGGTCTTTCAACCTGTCCTAGTTGAGTTCAATGAACTTCTGCAGCATCAGTCCACTTTAAAGAAAGGTTGAAAACTAGTGTTAAGTGAAAATTGCAAGAAGCAATAAAGGGGTAGATGCCAGGGAAGAAAAGAGAGAAGGGTAGTCCGTATGTACTGGCCTGGCACTCTCACTTTACAATATAAAATTTGCTCTATATTTGTCCATACAAATATGTTTTTTGACAAAGTTTGAACAGATTTGAACACATTTGTTTGCAGTTTGGCTCATTTATCTGCATTTGTCACAAAGCAAATGTTAAATTTGTCCTACATTTACACAGCATTTGTTCACATTTGTCAAATGTCTAATTTGTGCTTTGCACAAATGTGAACAAATATGACAAATTTTATATTTAGACCACATTTGTCCCACATTTATCTCATTTCAAATCTGTTTTTTCATCCAGTGAACATTTTCAACTTAATGATTTCGCTGTGCTGTTAAAGCCTCATCAATATTAACAGCTACAAAAAATCAAAAATTTGTATAGGTAATAGCATGATTTGTAGTGACATTTGGCATAAATACCACGAGTGATATTTCAAAATTGTTAAACGTAACTTCACGAGCCGTTAGGCGAGTGAAATTTGAGACAATTTTGAAATATCACGAGTGGTATTCATGCCAAATATCACTACAAATCATGCTATTATTTGCTTATACTACTACCCACAAAAGGTAAGTATTTAAAATTAAGTTGAAATACCACTGCTCTAAGCCAATCAAATTGCAGACATTTTTCATGTAGTAGTATAAAGCGAGAAAAACGTAAATGAAAAACGACATAATCTAGAGCAAATGAAAAGCAGAACTACAACAGCGAAAAAATGTAGAATAAAAAGTGCGTAAAAGCAAGATTGCAGTTCTTAAATGGGCACACAATCAGAACGTTCGTAATTTCTGTATTACAGCAAATGATTTCGGTGAAGTGCACTACTGCAATGCACACTGGTTGAAGGTGACCCTTTAAAGCGTTACGTAGGTTAAAGGGGCTATGCCGGCACCGGCGCCTGCGCAAGCCAATGAAAACAAGCTTGAAAAAATCAACAAAAATCTTCACCCCAGAGTTTTTCTGTGCGTGAAGGCCCCTTATCCAAACCCAATTCGTTAGGAAAACGTCTCTGTAAATTTAGGGGCCTTGGTCGTAACAGAGAATGTCACGCGTTAAGAACAATAGAATTTAGACAGTTAAAAGTAATTTGCATAACCTCAGCGCGAATTGTCTCCAGCTGACTAGCCTGCGTAGCATGGCGGTTTTGGTTGGGAGCGCTAAGTAATAAAGGCGGGCGAGGGCAGAGAAACCGCGAGGAGATTGGGGCGGAAGCAACTTGAAAAACCGCCTGCACGGACGGGGGGCTTTTTTGAGTCGGTCCGCACGCCAGCGTACGGATCGTTCCGATTGGTTCGGAATGTTCGCCTGTCAATCAAATATTTTGGTAATCTCCCATGGGAGAGTTTCGAGGGACTGAACAAATCATCTCCGCAAAACAAAATCAAAATAACAAAGAAGCGTTGACCGGAGCGTCGTCGATCTTGAATATTTGACGGGAAAATAGGGCAATTGTATTGAAGTCTAAACAGGAAATGGCCATTTACAGTCTTCTTCAAAGGAGAGATGTCATGGAAATTTTGTCAACAAGATTTGGCAAGAGCATGATCTTTACTGTCTTTGCTATGGCCAAAGAAGAAATATCCTCATCGGAAACCTGTATGATCACAATTTCCCCTCTAAAAAGTACTATCGAGGACCAGATATCTGAAATGGTGTCGCTGAGATGTAAAGCAATGAACCTTATGACAGAAACAGTAAATTTCAGTGCTTCGAGAAAGTTCACCTCAATTTTCTCTATTACTCGGTGTTAGAGAATAACGCACTCCAGCGCAATACATCGAACGGCGTCCGCGATTGTGGTCGATGAATCGCATATGGTAGAAGACGCACAGCGTAATTCTCCATACTTTTTTGCTTGGTGTAGCTTAAGCTACAACTCAAATCTGAAGATCGCGCTCTACGTAAAAATACAACATCCTGCAAACAACAGTTAAAAAGCCGGGCCCAGCGTCAAAACATTCACGGACAAAGCAGTGACAAAGAAACTACAAACCAAGGCTCCTTGGTTTGTAGTTGTCCAGATCCAGGCATTTTAGTCGGAAAAGACCAAAGAAACTAAAATATTTATTTAGCCGTAATAAAAAGCTTTAGGCTTTAAGAGTGGTCAAAGAAATTAGTACTTTACAACTGCATCTGAGATCAACAAATTCTAATTAGCGAAAATAACATTAACCACAGGAAATAATTACTCAATACGGATTAAACAAACCAACTCCATGACCTCTAAATAAATGTAAGACTTACTGCAGCGAAAATAAGTTCTACTCAGTCAAGTTTAGAACGCAGTGTAGTCACCTATGCGTGAGATAGCCACAAAGAAAAAACCCGTGTTTGTTCAAGCAAACTCCAATTCCGGCCAAGGTCACGTTTTACACTATATCACGAGCTGTTGTGTCGTGTTTAGGCTGTCAACACTTTATTTCTGATTGGCTGGGAAAACTGAAACCAAACAAGTTGTCAACAGGATGTCAAAATGAGTTGAAGGGGGCGGCAGTTGAAAAGGCCACGAATCCGGGCAGGCGGTTTTTATTTTTTTCGCGGCTACGCCGCTCCTGCGCCCGGCTCAACAAAACCGCCATGCTACGCAGGCTACCAGCTGACATAACCTGCGATCATTAGGCGGTTTTTTGTCGCAAACAAATTGAAAAAAAGGACACCTGATCGAAGGTTACAGCTGACATAGCCTCTTCAAAGCCTTTAGAGCGAAATCGCGAACAGCCCGTTTTGCATTACTTTAATGGATTCTTTGCCTTATTCGCATGACTTTTTCTTCAGATATATTTCTTTCTGAGTGATAAACTTCATTATTATTCATTCAAAATATTTCCCAGATTCTGATTGGCTAAAACAAAGCACACACATAACTCACCGTAACCAGCTACTGATGACCAAATTTGGGAGAATTTTTAATTAACCGATGACGTCAAAAGTGCAGCTTTCTTGCAGGTTAACGCACCGTTAACCGAGAAGACCTGGGGACGAGGTTGAGTTGTTTTGGTAGTGAAAACAAAAATGAAAACATGAAAACATTTCATTCGCTTTAACAGTGAGAACTACGTGAAATAATAGCTAAAAATATGGCAAGAACAGCAAGAAGACTACTCGAAGGGCAACATCTGCTATTTGAAGAATATTTACGGAGCTGAACAACCCTAAATGTCCACTATCGAAGGTGAACTTAACATCAGTTGAGGTAAGCATATTTTAGCTATGTTTTTCAACGAGGAATTATTTTGAATGAACAATAAAACAATTAATGAATTCGGCTTTCGCATCATATGAGGAATTATGTAGATCTCGGGGGGTGTTAACACCCTCCTCGATCTCCATAATTCTTCATAAGATACTCAGCCTCTTTCATTAATTGTTAAGTATTAATACTCGTCGTCGTAACGAGCAGGTCTTCTCACGGCCCTGCCTCTTATGGTTTTGGTGGGGAAGGCCTGCTCGCTTCGATAAGTTTCCTTTCCTTTTCCTTCTCTTTCGTTGTTTTCTTCTGTCCGTTTTTCCCGTTTTCTTTTCCTTTTCCTCTTGTCGTCTTCCTCCACATCTTCCTCCACTTTCTTCTCTTCCTCCTCTTTCCTCTCTTCTTCCTCGTCTTCCTCCTCTTTCCCCTCTTCCTCCTTCTCTTCCTTCACTTTCTTCTCTTCCTCCTCTTTCCTCTCCTCTTCCTCCTCTTCTGTCTCTTCACCCTTTGCCTTCTCTTCTTGTTCTTTTTCCTTTTCCTCCTCTTCCTTTTCCTTAAATGCTTCCACTGTGATAATAAACATGAAAACAAACAAACGCGAATATAGTAATTTTGATTAAAACCTTTTCATTTTTTCATTACGAGCTTAATTCACTACTTAGTATCTTGAAAACCACTGACTCAAATGCTTCTGAAGAAATACAAGGGATCCATCAAACAAATTTCACCAGGGAGCACTAACCGTTAATATTTTTGGTGAGTTTTCGCAGACATATCATTATGTTGCAACAAATGACAGGAACATTCAATTTCTAAATATAGTCTCATGACAAAACTGGGCCATGCTTTTTGGAGTTCAATTTATGCGACATAAAAAAAAAGTTCACAAACATAATGATTCTAGTTTATTTACGAAACACCCCATACCCGGCCATAGCCAGGCCTCTAACACCCCATATCCCGTTGACTTGATTTTCCTTAATTTCCTGTGTGCATCCCCGCACTTTTGGGCGATTTTTTGGGGGGATTTTCTCTCTTTCTTCCTCCGCTTTTTCTTCTGTCATCCCAAATTTCTGAATGACATACTCTGTTAAATGAGAGGGAACGAAAAACGTCAGCTGTTCATCGTTTACAACAACTTTTTTCAAAACAGTGAGCGCAAGAAACAGTGAAAAAAACGCTACCTTCCAACAGTTACTGGGAAAACCTAAAAAACCTAATGACCAGAGCCCAGTTGTTTGAAAGACGATTAGCGCTAACCGAGGATTAAATTTTAATCTGGGTTTCTTATTCTTTTCGCTCAAAACCGGCATTTACCCAGATAATTTTCACTATTCTTTGTAGAGCATCAATTCAATACATTACAGGCAAAAAGGATTAAACTGAATTTCCATTTAAAGCTTTCATATGTGAATTTATACTTCGCACTAACCCTGGGTACTTTATTTGCATTTTTGGCTTTATAAGCAATAAGGTCGACTCCCGATAACTCGAACCCACGCTAAGTCAAACCTCGCCTTAACTCGAAGCAAAACATGTTTCCCCCGGATTTCCTCCTTACATTTACTGTAATTTTATCCTCCGTAACTCGAACTTTCAGCTAACTCAAAGATATTTTTTTCCCTTAGAATGTCATTTTACCATCGATAGCTCGAACCATGTTTTAATTTAAGCTCATGATAAGTAGAAAAAAATTTTGCTGCAGTCCGAAACGTTTAATTTTTGAACTTTTAAAACGACTAAATATTCTGTGTATTCCTTCAGTCAAAGTATGAAAATATCGCAACCTTTATCCTATATTAGATGAGCAAGAAACGTACAACAAAGTGTACATACAACAAAGTGTACCGTGCCTATCGACTTCTGTTTACTAAACACTACATCAAACAATAGTGAAAAACTCGCTCTCAAAGATTACGCGACCGAGAATGATCGAACATACTGATGTGCATTTTCGCACTCACCGAAACGTGGCTAAAAGATCATGACATTTTCTGCCGCTGAGATTTGTCCCAATATATATCAATTATGCCATGTTCTACGAAAGAGTTTACGTGGTGGCCGGTAGGTCTTCCTTAAGCCTGTTCCAGGCTCAGTGTCGGTGATGAAGACCCGAAGGTGAAAGGCACGCGAAAAGCTGGCGGGGCGGCAAAAATGAAAAGCTGAAGGGATATAGAGCCTGTAATCATTTGTTTTTATATTGATTAATTACATATTGTATCTTCTGCGTAAAAACTAGGATACTATTGTTAAACAAGCCTTTCGCACCTCGCTAGAACTTCACTGTAATGGTAAAAATAGCTTTTACCATAATCTTATCTGAATATTATGACCTTCCCGATTTTGATCCTAATAATTTAAGTGAAGCTAAGATCAAACACTATTTATACAATGATGCGAATGCTACGCGTGCTGTGATTGGTCGTTGCCCATGATCTATTAGAGTACAGATACATGGATGACGTCACAGGAAACTTGTTTTCTTTGTTTTGTTCAACGTGGCAGGCGGTTTTGAAAATGTTTGTGAGATTATTTCGGATTGAGGCAAGTGAAAGCTTCGGAAAAAGTTTAGCAGGAGCTATTTACAAAGAAGAAAAATGGAGAAACGGAGACCAAAAAAGCTTTTGACTACTTGACAATGCCTAAACTACAAGAAATCTTCACAACAGTTGCCATCGTGTGTCTTCGCTACGAGAGACTCGCTGTTTTGCAAAATGTTTTCGCTATTATTCTTCTTTGAGCAAGAAAAGACGGTGAAAAACTTTTCGAAGAAACTGTACACAAGTAAGATACAGAAGAAGCTAAGATGAAAAGTTGGGTTTGGGACTTAAAAAATGCCTAAACTAGCACAAATCCTCAAAAGGTCGAGCGGTTCGAGGCAGGTATGTGTATCGGTCTTTTTCTTTTCTGATCATTGTATAAAACAAATAGATTCCATGTTGCCGTGGGTCTGTTCAGTAATAGATCACAGAGGACGTCAAAATGGGGTAAAAACAACAGTGACACACTCGCCTGCGGCTCGTGTGCCACTTCTTTGTTTTTACGACATTTTGACGTCATCTGTGATCTATTACTGAACAGACGCACGGCAACATGGAATCTATTTGTTAAATAGATATATTAAAACAAAAATATATTACATATTGGCAACATACAATCCATCATTCTAAGAAACTACAATTTTACAGCTTATTTAAACATGATTATAAAATTTCAAGTTATCTAGACTTAATTAGAAATTCAGCCAATAGGAAAGACTTGGTGAAAATTCGTATAAGTAACCACAAACTCATGATTGAAACTGGAAGATATAATCAAACTTCCCGCAACGATAGATTCTGCCCTATTTGTAGCTCTGGTGTAATTGAAGAGGAATTTCATTTTCTCTTCCATTGTCCAAAATATTCAATCCCAAGGGAGAAATTCCACAATCAAATAGAACGAAATCTTGTCGACTTTAATCAGCTACCTTACAAAGAATTGATAATTAAATTGACGAATCCACATAATTTTTCCGTAAATTCACATTTGTTGAAATTTGTCTCATTATGTAATGATTTACGTACTAATTTGTTATCAAATCATGCTGATGACACTTGATTGACTGTAGTATTCATTGCATTGCATTATCATTGTTATAAATTGTAACTTTATGTTGAAGCTTTTGCAATACTGTAACTACATAATTATAGTCATGCAAATAAAGCTGATGTTGTTGTTGTTGTTGTTGTTAAGGAAAAACACTGCAGTTATTACTATAAGAAATATTAGTATCAAAACGTCTGATGGTAAATTGTACCTTTTTCTGGTGTTCCTCCTTCTCTCCTCTGAAACGTAGTAACAAAAGAATATGTCATGTACATAATTTTTTTGCCAAATTTTTTGCTCTGGTAATAAATATCATAAAAATAATTTTTATTCAAGCAATCTTTTTATAGATAAAACGCAGGTCACTTTGGTAAGGGTTAACTGATACTGAGAAACGTCGCGTTTGACGAAAACGGGTTAGTACGTTTCTTTCGAAAGAAAGAAAAATGGACTGGAAATGGAAAAATGGCAAAGCACAATGAAAGTACTTTCCAGGAAGTATTATTTTCAGGTATATTTTATGCATTACTTAGACACTCCTCATTCTATCAACCTTAATATACATACATACTTTATTGTTACCTTCGGGCGTGCAAAAAGAACTTTTTGTTTCACTGGCGCAATAGATGTTCTCCTGGGCGCAGTTGTTGGAAGGCCGATCAGTGCTTAACCCGGGTTTCTTTTTCTTTTGTTAAAATACATTTCTTTGGATAATTTTCTCAGTTATTTTTAAGAGCGTCCAATCATCAACTTGTTGGCAAAATGAAGCCGGGTCGCGAGTTCGATTCTCGCCTTGGGCATGAAAATTTCCTTTGTCCCGGGCAAGCATGGTTTCTCCTCCTTCCAAGTTGAAAATGTGCACTGGAAGTGTATGTGTGCTACTCACTATTGTGTTATTTAAATTAATAAAATAGAAATAAAATTACTTTACGAACCACGAGTTCGTGAGAAAAAAACAAATTCGCGGGTGAAAGGTAAGTGACGCCGACTGAGTTTATCTTTCTTTTTATGATCCGGGTTGATTTTTTAATGATCCGAGTTGATCCGAGTCCAGCTATATTTTATTTTTATTTTTTTATTCGATCCGAGTTGATCCGACCCGGACTGGCGGTTCGAGTTGATCCGGTCCGACTTTTGTAACTGCCTAGCTAAAATGTTCGTTTGTCCAGTGCCGAAAATATCACACGTCATGATGAAATGGTGCCGCCGAGCTACACAACTTGGTAGATTTACTCTGTGGCACTACGGCCGCCTAGCTACACAACTCAGTAGATTTACTTTGTGGCACAACAGACGCTAAGCTTCACAACTCGCCCGGTAAATTTACTACGTGGTACAACGGACGCCGAGCTAAACAACCCGGTTTGATGCATGCACCAGGAGTAGCACCCATTTTCCAAAGAAAAATATGAAGGCTTAACCCAAAGTAAAATTTTACTCAGGGTGTAAACTTTCAGCACACTTTTGAAAGATGAACGCTTTGGACGATTCATTAAACACAGATCGATAGTAGACCTTCATCAAACTCTTAAATATGTACGCTTTACGAAAATTCAGCACACTTTTAAAAGATGAACGATTTACGACAGAATAGCAGACCTCAGCAAACGTTTGAAAGATGAACGCCTAGGACACAGGAATCAACAAGTGAGTTAGCGCGTCAAAGTGAGGCAAAACGTAAGTAAGCGTCCAGGAGCCGATTAAGTAATCGGCTCCTGCAAGCGCCTCAAAGCGAGGCAAATGCGTGTCGACGACGACGACGAATGCACTCTCGAAAAGACTTCCCTTATTAATTGCACAGGACATCCAATAATGCACATACCTCGAACGGAATAACAAGCGAAGAATGTATTAAATTCCTGTTTCTTTCATTTGTAAAATATAAGAATGATAAAACAATGGATAAATTGTGGCTGTTATAATGTGAGGAGACAAAAAATGTTTCATGTCTAAATTAGATCGCGTACGTTTTTTATTTGACGAATATTGCATCTTGACGAAAGTGAAATGTAAAGTTTTAATCAAATATTCAGTCAATCAATTTATCAAAACCTTTATTTATACACGATGACAGTTAAAGCTTAGTAGCTTGAGGGGTCGTGTGTAGGTTAAATAATTGTACCAATTTTCGATTAAAATGTTTAAGTTAAAACACTAAGAAATCTTGAAATACTTTTAAAAAATGAACTCTTCCTAACAAGTTCAGGGAATTCTTTCGACAATGAAACGATTAAAAATATCTAAAACGTTTTACTGTACAGGTTATAAAATCAACATCCTTAACTTCATTCTGCTCATGAATACTTTTAATAACACTGCCAAGGGATACTGCTTTGCGGCACTCTACTGCACGGTAAATGGTTCCATAGGATTACCCCTCTGTAGGCTATTGAATATTTCATGATATTTGTACTAAAAGATGGAATAACTATGCAAACAATGGCTGAGACTTTGAAATACGTATTGACATGCTGGAAGGCGAGAGATTATGAAACATTTTGTAGATGACTTTTAGAATCGATAACTTGTATCTAGTTCCCTGAAGTGTCCTATTGAGCGCGAGCAAGTTCTTCCGCCGATGGCATATCCTTGGGAAAGTTGTAGCCAGGGAGGCTGGCAACTGCCTCTGATCTTGCCCCTTTCGGCTTTCCATGATCGCCCCAATTGCGAAATCTTTCAATCATTCGAGAGCTGCAGCGAGCATGCGAGAAACGGGCTTGGAACAGCAACAAAAAGAAGTTCGTCTTGGCAACGTTTCCATAGTGTGAAGTGAATTCGCTTTTGGTCCGGCCTGTTGGTCATTGCTTTCTTTGCTGTAACCATCTTTTTTTCGCGGTGATTTGAAGCTTACGTTTTCCTTCTTGTGGTCTTGCTTTTGTCATTGCATGCGGTTTATAACGCTAATAACGAGACCAGTGAACTTTGATCGTAGACAGTTATTGTATCTCGATGCTCGACCTTTTTCACTTCACCTCTCTAGCTGCAGGCTCTCAAGCTGTGTTTCTGTTTAGAAGACCCACAAGACTAAAAGAGCGGCCAACCCTCCTATACGTTTTTAGAAGAGCTTATATTTTCAAGTGAAATACCCAAAATTATATCTTCGTGATATTAAAAAAAAGGACAGTGGCTGTGGTCGAGTAGAGTTTTTTACGGTTTTACTACACCTTTAACACGACAAGAAATGATGATTGACATTCTTAATTCTTCATCCTTGATTGTGAAGTTATCCTGGTAGAGTTGCGTTGGATGATTGAGTGGCATGATTAAATCTCGTAGTTCATGTATTTTTTTTACCTACCAGAAGCTAAATAAATTTTTCCAAGAGATCATTTTCTCTTGACTTTGCACATGTTGATACGCTTTTAAGCATATGTGAACTTAAAAGTTCTTTTCTTCGTGTGACTTGATTTAATCTTTACCATAATTTCTAACAAATGAAGCTGAGGCAAATGATTGTGTGTTTGGAATTCTTTTTTCGTGACAGCAGTTATTACACTGCCTTCAGTTTGAGTCCTCATTCAAGTGTGTTTTGTTGTAAACAAAGAGGAAAAAACTATCAATTCCAAAAACTACACTACCCCTTCGAACAAGATAGTGGTTTAAAAAAGATTAACTAAGTTCAGAAAATAAATGTTTAAGTTTCCATGTTTTGTCAAGGACCACATCTGGCTAAATATGCTTCAAAGGGCATTTCTAAAATCAATAATTTGGTGACATTTCTATTTTGCCTTTGTGATCAGTTTTTGCCATACAGTTGCATGTAATTTTTTTACACTTTTGGACATCAACCTGCCAGGTTAGTTTGTGTCTGTATCAAGATGAAGTTAATGAAATCAAACCTTCTCAGCTTAAAAATATTTCCTTGTACTAGCGGATTTGAAAAACAATTACATAAGATGCCTTAGAAAAAAATGTAAAATGATTATTAAGATAATATTATTTTTATTCAACAATAACAGTTAGAAACTAGTGTTGCGGCGGGTAAAAAAACAATTTCAGAGACCATAAACCTTCACTGACTTTCCTGTTACAACAAGTGGACGGTAAAAGGGTATTAAAATGTGAGATCACCTCCCTGGGCTTGCAATGAAAGAGAGTATGGGTAGTAGGACACGTCGTTCATTTCCCTACCCTTTCTAAGCCAAGAGACCTTATTTTATAATCTGATTCTTTTCATTTAGCATACAGAATTAAGTTAGCTTTTAAACTTAGAAACATGGAAAAAAACTTGAGGAAAATGGTGGTACAAAAATGTAACTATAGACTGCTCCTCATCAAACTTCCCAGCCCAAACATACTCATCTAGGCCAAATAAGCCACCAAATAAGAACTGCTGAGGGGACTGGACTCAAGGGACAATGATGTTGATAAAACAGCAATTTTACCTTGTTTTCTTTAGTTGTAAATCCGATTCATAACTTACACAAACAATTTGAGTTGTACATTTTTCAAGGTCCTTCTGATTTTCTTTAAAAACTTTGCAAAAACATACCCTTCAACGCATACCCCTCTCTGATGTATTATCTTATTAGCAACGGGATTAGCCTCGTCCCCACACTAATAAACCATTGTAATCATTTCAAGTATAATTCAGAACTATAGGGTAATATATATATATACAAAAAAGTTCAAAGAAATACCTGAAACCGAAATCACTAACTAATATAAAACTACTAGTACGGTAGGGTCGTAGTACTGTTGGAAATTTAATTTCTTACCACTCCAATGATATTCCAGTGAAGCTTTTGAAGGTTCACTAAATCCCTCCCAGCCTTAGAACTGATATCAAAAATAGCTTATACTGACAGACCCAGCAGATGTGAAGCAAAGTGATTGAAACATTTACCCTGGCTTTCACTAAATTGGCCCTGTATTCTGTATTTACGCCCATAAATATTTGTTGTGGCTTCCGTTGTACAAACAAACTTACCAACAGCGAAGTAGAAAATTGGTTTAATGAACATTCACATGTGACTGTTGCAAGACTCGTACTTTAGGATAAGGAAGAGAGTCTTTCCACTGTAAGTGGAAAAATATAAGCGATGGAGCAGGCTCAGTAATTGCTCGAAAATTCACGAAGCTTAAAAATAACTGAACTTGCTGAGATGCCGAATCACGATAAGTGAAGTCACCATGAACGTTCATACATCACGCCAGCCCTCCTGATGTCCAAAAATTCCGTTAAAAAAGTTCATGAAACCCTTTGGACGCGGGAAAACTTAAAACCGAGCAAAGACTCTTCGTCTTTCTATGTCTGCACTCTCCGCCATATTTGTTTGAATGAAAATTGGTACTTAGTCTCACTCGGTCTAATTTCTTAACTGGGGCGATCATATAAACTAGGTTCCAGACCTCACTGCCAGTCCCCCTTTTGTAGATGATCCTTGCTGCCCTGCGATGTAATCTTTCAAGTGCATGGAAATCGTCTTAGCGACTCATTCCTCTCCACCCCCCTCCCTCCCAGACAGCTGTGTCTTACGTAATGGACGGAATTATGACCTTAGAGTATAGGTTTAAGAGAACATGTTAAGGTAAAAATCGATTCTTTAAAATGTCAAAAGTCCGCAAAGGTTACAGCCGAAAAATTGAAATATGACACAGCTATTTTTTCAGCATGCGAAAGGCGATAAACCTTTTTCGCGTGGGGTGATTTTCACGCCCGCTCGCGTTTTGCTCGCTCTTCTATCTCTGAGGAAAAATGGGAACTACTCTTAGTCTATCATCTTAGACAATAGAAGCCAATTCAAAGCCATTCAAAACGATATCTAAGCGTATGTCGCATTTATTGTGCTGCCTACTATACTTTATATGATGGTATGGTATAATTGAATAGTTGTAAAAGGCTAGTGTGTACACATAAAATACATAAGTGACAAGTGGGTTAATCCATGGTATACCACAAGAACGTGTTGCATATCTTGTATGTTTTATATTTATATGTTCTCGTCAAATGCTATTATGGTATTGTTTAATTTCTGTGGCTGTTCTCAGTAGGCCCTAAAGTAACACGTACCGCTCCAACTGTCCTCCTAATTTCCTTTGGCTCACTTAAGATCTCAGTCATATATCTCTAAAGAAATTGATAAAAAAAGATGATTTAAGTTCCTCTGGCAAACGTTTATGAATGGAACAAATTTGCCAGTTGCTTCGACGAGCCCCATCTTTTAATATAAGAACCCGTTTAGGCTAAAATTTGAAACAGGTTCTTATTTTCATAAAAAATTCAGCACACTTGGGAAATTAAGATGAGGCATTACAATACATGCATGTATTGTTTTGAAGGAGGACTTCAACATTCATTTGGTCAATGCTAGTTATAGTCATAATTGCATAAATACCTATTTAGTTTACAGATTCATTTAAGGAAATAACTGAATGCCAAAAAAAATACTTTTAGCCACAATTTCATTTTTCTTAGAAAATAAGAACCTGTTAATTTAAGAACCTGAATAGCATATTTTAGGTTCACTTACTCGCGGATTTTTACTGTATCAAGGGTCTTTATGTTAGCTCAGTTCAAACTGACAAAGCGACCAAGTTTGGCAGAAAATATTGAATAATAGAATTCTTACCTCCAGCCTTTCTTGCTTCTGCTTCATCTCCTCCATAAACTCCTAAAGAAGTTTGACGAAAAATTAAAATCTAAGTTCCGGTGGGCAAACATACGATACAATATTTAATCTCATGGGACATGATAATTTCTCAGGTTGCAACACAGGTTATAGCACCATTTTTTAAACAGCAATTGACGATTGAAATCTCTTTAGTCTGTCATGTGGCGTCGCCTTTCCATTTTTGGTCATATTTGTATGAGGTTATGCATCAATTGAAAGTACCTTTTTTCGCCCCTTACAGCAATCTACATAATCCTGTCTAAGATTTTCCAAAGCCGGGAATTTCCTCAAACATTTGCCGTTACCCTTGCCTATACTCTTTTAAAACTAGATTGTTATACATGTTGCAATATTTTTTTTGCGTATCGTTGCATTTCTCTAACCTGCGAACAGCAGACGCATTTCCAGTCGAGAAGCGACGACCCGAAATGCGTCTGCTATTCGTCGGCTACATTTAATTTTCTAGTTCATTATTGTCAGAACGGGAGCGGTTATTCCTGGAAACGAGGCTGCTAGCAATATACCATCAAGAGAAATTGAAGAGTTATTTCCTACCTCTTCGAAACAGGGTAAGTGCAGGCTGGTTGTGAAGAATCACCTGGGGGATTGGGACCAAGCAGAAACCGCGCAGTATTTTGAATGAATAACAGCAACTCAACTGTCGATAATTCAAGGCTCGAGACTTTAATAATTTAGCTAAGTGCAAAACCTTTTCTTGTCAAAATAAGTAAAAATCACCCATGCACACACTCATTATCACGGGTCGTAATGTCAGCACAGTGCACAGATCAAACTGTTAAAGCAACTAAAAGTCGGCCGAAAATATTGAATGACAGAAATCTTACCTTCATTTTCTCTTCAAATTCTGAAGATGCCATGCTGTAAAGAAGTAGAGATTTTGGAGGTCACCTTCAAATGCGACAGCAAATTTTCGGTGCACGTGAAGAACAAACTTATTAAAGCTAACAAATCCCTATACATATCCTTAGAACACTGCGCAAAGAGGGTTACAAGACCTTCTCAATAGTTACGCATTATCTGTCTACGCCGCGTCCGAGTCCGATCTTATACCTGTACAATGTTTCTTAGACCGCTGTTTTAAGCCTGTAAGCGTTTATGATTTCTTAGAGAGGCAAGACCGTAAAATGTTCAGAAAGTTTCTAAATAAATGCTAAAGGACATGTGCTTTTATCTATTATGCCTCGTATTAAACCGTCTAGTTACAATCTTAGGAAAGAAACTTGTTTTCAACCTAAGATGAACACTGTGCGTTTTAAAAAAGATCTTTTATCAACCGTTTAGTTTTTAAATATAAATTAGCTATGCAATATACATTGTACTAGATTTTTAATTCGTACTTTTTACCTTTTTTGTAACAAGAGAAATGTATTTTTATCTTTTGACGAACAAAGATTTTATTATTATTATTATTATTATTATCATTGTTATTATTATTATTATTATTATTATTATCATCATCATTATTATTATTTCTTATTTCAATTTTCACAATATGGTAGAACCTCTATTCAGGGGACACCCTCAGGACCAAGGCAAGTGTCTCCTGAATTGATCACTCCAGAAACCATAACATACCATAATACTCTTTCTTTGTCACTCCAACATTTTGCATTAGCATTGTCCCCAGTTTCTCTTGGGGGTTAAAATGGCTCCATGAGAAACTGAAAACAATGCTCTATGCAAAATTTGGGGTCACAAACAAAGAGCATTATGGTATGTTGTGGTATTTTCTGTAGTGGTCAAAGTGGTGTTCTAAGCTGAGGATGGTTAATAAAAAAGGCGTCTGCTGCAGTCATTATTTCAAGCAGCTAAATAATTAGGGGCACCCAACGACAATGTTCGGAAAATATCTGTTCGGAAGACGAATTGAGGCCTAGAATCTTCAGAACGTTTGCTGTAACATTTCTTGCTCGCCAGCCTCTCCCAGGATTTTCGAACATCTAAAAACTGGGATAATAGCCCATTTTTAACGGATGTTTACCCTAAAAAGGTCACCTCAGGAGCCTTTATTCTGGCTGAAATTTTCAAAAAGGTAAGATTTGATCCTTATAATTCTCGGATCGCTAGACTTTCAGCTAGGAAATCCGAGAGAAAAAAACAGATGAACAATTTTTAGGGAATAAAAATGTGCCTATATCTACCCTTAAATACTAAAATACGTTTAACAATGCTATGTTTTTTAAGTGGTTTTGAACTATATTCTCGTTGGGTGCCCCTGAATAATCTAATATATAGATTTAGCCAGGGCTAGAAGCGAAGCTCTCGTTAATATATAGTTTACTGAAACAAAATATAAATTCGTGTAATGCTAACCAAACGGCGACGGCAACGAAAACAGCGAAAAAAAAATAACAACAACAAAAAAACAGTAGGTCTAATTAGCAAAAAACAACTTTGCACGTGCAGCACACTTTTTTGTACACTTCTTTGCCGTTGTTTTGCATGACGACAACGTGAAACCAGAAACTTCCTAGTTACACGTTTTATGGAGTAAACGTTTGTTGTATGTGGTCTGGTCACTTTTTTTTTTGGCTGCCGCTCATCTTTACCTTGGTGGCCGCTAACATTTCTCAATTTCTCACAGCCGCTACGATTTTTTCTATATCTCTGGCTCTAGCTCTTTCTCTGTTATCCACGCCAATGTAGACATTAAAATTAAGTCGAAAGAAAGAATCGGCTTCGTTGTTGTTGTTGTTTTTTATCTCTAAATGTCCGGGTGGCTATGCGATTTACCGCCAAAACGCGCGGGTACTTGAAATGCAAAATTTAACCCCAGCTTACATGAAAGGGTGGACGTACGTACGAACGTACTCCGCACGGACGATTTTGTGACCCAATCTTGTGTCCCCTTAATGGAGGTATCCCTTGAATAGAAGTGTCCCAAAGGAGGGGTTCCACTTTATTTGAAGATAAATTCGGCACTTCTATTTAGGTGCATTTTTAATTGTAGCACATGGGCGTTATAGCTTTAAAGCTTTACCGTTATATAACGTCAATTTTTTTTTCACACATAAAAGCTAAACTGGGCAAGGCCTACAAATGAGAGCATGTAGAAAACATCGCTACAGCCAGACGGAAATTGGTCATCTCTTCAATAGCATCGTTCTTCCTAACATAATATAACCTGCGGACTCGGTGCCGCTGATTCGGAAATTAATGTCCTTCAACAATTTTTAGACAGATGCTATAAGTTGCGCTTTATATATCTACGCAATTAAATATGAGATCATTACTACAAAAACAAGATAAAGCGATTTTTAAAAAAGTTAAACAGCTTGATAACCACCCCTGAAGGTTTGCTTACCACAAGAAAAGAACAATTTAACTTACAAACTTAGCCGTAAAAGCTGCCAAAGGCCCAAAATAAACCCCGAACGTTATAAGAACACATTTGTAAACAGATTAATTTTAAAATACAACCTTTTAGGATATTTTATGTCAGATGTATGTATCTAGTTTTTTTTTCACATTTTTATCTTTTCATTCTATTGTAATTTGGCTGAAATTTTAATCTTTTTCTGTAACGCTAGACATGCATTTTTATCTAATGAGCAATAAAGACATTTATTACTATTACTTTATTAATTAATCGCAGCTAGAAGCCTGTTCATATTCAGGGCCTAATTACATGAGCAGTTCTGGCTGCTTTGCTTTGCTGTCTCGCTTAATCAGGAGTTGATTTTCATTTCGTATTTCAAGAAAGTAGTCATCCCGCAACCCTGACAGAGAGATTAGAGGCAGTGCACATAAGCGTTGTGTTACCCGCCGGTTCGCTGCGCTAGTTTCGTGAGCGTTAGTACATAGAAAATATCACTCCTGTGATCACTATTATCGGGAACCCAGCTGGCCGGGCGAGCATGTGATCACGAAGTTGATTTATTTTGGTGTGCTTAATATTTGTCTGTTTAAATTATAACCCGTTATGTATTTAAATTGTTTAGTCCGGTATCTTTGATTATAAAGTGGTAAGGCTAAGAGTTACGTGCGCCTTCTGTGGCGAAAAGATTTCTGAAATTTGTTCAGAAGTGGTGTCGGAAACTGCTGAGCTCACCAAAGGTAGAGTTCTAGATTTATTTCTCAGATCCGACAAATTTCATGCAGGATGAAGGCTTTATCAAAACAAGCTAAGTCTTTCCCAGCCCTTTTAGAACGAGCGAATCCCTCGAGAATTTAATGAAAACAATTCATTTAATAAGTCAATATTATTTAGCCAAACTGTTGGAAGGAAATTTTGTTAAATCAATTTACAATAAAAAAAAGATGACATCAATAATCGAAAGGTCTAAAACTAGAGAAAAGAAACAAGATTAAAGTGAGGAAAAATGAAAAACAACTTCAGTAGCCTGAACAAGAAAGTATTAATTAAAACTTACTCCAAATAACAAACAACGGAGAAGAACAAAGAACAATGAATGAAAATTACGACCCCTGGGATTTGAGACAGATAGAATCGAAGTTGTCACTGGTTTACCCAAAAGAACTCATATCGCTTCTATTAGTTCAGCAACAAAATCACAATACAACTATTTGTTTCAAACCTCTCCAATGGAGGTGCAATGGGAGGCAGTAAAACTCATTATTTTATATATACTGGGAAATACTCACCAAAAAGTTATGTCGTAAATTTTCGTAGGCAAATTACTTGTAGCCAATCAGAGGAGCGAACGATGGTTTTCACACGTGAAAAATGTGATACGTCCAATCAGAATCGCGAACGATGTTTTTTCACGTGTGAGAAAAATGATACGTCCAATCAGAAGCCACAGAGGTATGTGAGTTTCGCGCCAAAATTCCCGCCTTTTATTGCAGCTTGCAGCGCCGCTTCGCACACATTCGAGAAGAACGAGAAACGTTTTACTCAAAGAGTTTTCTCGCTAAAAAAATGAACAACATTTCGGGAATAGAGTGGAATAGTTTCGTTTGTTTCACTGTCGATAAAGAAAACGATAGAGAGCCGGCGAAACAACAGCGGAAAGGGATAAACAGAACGAGACGTAAGCTTTTGTTGTGCTTTTTGTCGGAGCTACTTTGCCTTTCATTTAAGCTTGAGCTTATATTGAAACCGGCCATTTTACTTAAATTCACTCATTTTCAATTGTGCATTGAGAACAAACAGTTAAGATTACTTATAGTTCTTGGATTACCTCATATCCTCACCGTCATTTATGTTTTTAACAAACGTGTCCACTAAAAAGCTGATACTTCGTCTTCGTTGTCATTTTGCGGTAAGTGTGTAGTTGCAAATTTTAACATTTTTGAAAGATTTGAAATAAAAAGGCCGCCAAAATGATGAATGTCTCAGTATGTATATAATAAACACAATACCACATGGAAAGTGCTTTGTAAGGTATTTACGCACTCGTTGTTTTTGTATCAGAAATCTTACTCGTTCGCTGCGCTCACTCGTTCGATTTCTGATACGTCAACAACTCGTGCGTAAATACCGTACGCCAGCACTTTCCATGAAGTATTCTCTATTTTTACGTACCTAAAACGTTATAACTGAGAACTTGTAAAGACACGTTAAAGAAAAAGAAATGAAACGTTTCAGCAAACGTTTAAGTTCAGTAAAACTCGAAGTATCGTCCGTCAGTGTATACACTTCAAAGTCTTCAGTGCAACTCAAATTAAGTGAGTAGAAGTTAACCCCAAGACTGCAGCATCAACATCAAATTACTATTTTTCGTCAATTTCAGACATATTCAAGTTTTAGTCAATAATAAACCTGAAATAGAGGTGCAACACGCTCTTTAGCGGTAAGAGTTGTGAAAATCCGGCAATATACTCTACGAACTGTAATATAAGTATACCTTGGACTAATCACTGAAAACAACAGGAAATGGACTTTTTAACTAAAGGTCGGCTAAGTATTACCAAATCAAACTCGTTCTCCTTAGTCAATTTGTATAGGTAATAGCATGATTTGCAGTGATATTTGGCATAAATAGCACGAGTGATAGTTCGAAATTGTCATACGTAATTTCACAAACCGTTAGGCGAGTGAAATTTGAGACAATTTTGAAATATCACGAGTGGTATTTACGCCAAATATCACATACAAATCATGCTATTATTAGGTTATACTATATTTTCCTCCAAAATCCTGCTCTCCGTCACTTTGACTAATTTGCGAGGATAAAATTAAAGATCACAA